TCGTTTTCTGCATCTATTTCACCATGATCCATTGCCCACACTTCATCCTCCCTCACTTCCTGCATTATCTCCTCCATTTGAGCACATTGTGATTTACGTTCACTCGACTTCAAGTTGTGTCGTTTGGCAGCACGGCGTAAAATGTCCGAAAGCTTCAGTGCTTTGTTCTGCAAGCAGTGGGAACGATGCGCAGAGAGTGATCGCTGTGCAGGGAAAGTCTTACCACAGGCAACGCATGACTGCACCATCTTGATTGAAGCAGAGTATGTAGTGAAGGACCAATGTGACAGCGGATTCGGAAGAGATTCAAGGGAATGACTTGGAGCTTAAGGTTTAACATCAGTCCCAGGCCGGATCAAATCTGATGATATTTTTTCAAAAATTTGAGCCAGTTCAGCAATGAGATGTTGACCGAAGTTTGGCAAATAGGTTGTCGGCTCGGATTTTGCCAAACATCGGAACTCAAATCCAGATCTGCATTCGGACCAACCCTAACACCAGGGTACATACATTATGATCAATGTGTTAGGTGCCATTTGGACAGTGAATTCCATTTTCAAATTTCGGATTCGTGGTCACATGCAACATAATTATATAAGCTGGGTTACCGTATCAGGTTCCAATATGATAACAATCATCAGCGCTGTAGGATGACCATGCCAGCTGCTACCCTACAACAACTTGACTATGATGGACCGCTTGGGATGGTACAACGAGGGCATATACAGTGCCTGATGTTTATTCTAGTTGCTGTTGTTACCCAGGCCCTCATAGACTATTAGACACACTTCCTAACCCGCTGTGTGTGCATACCCTATCACACATCTGCTTTAACAGGCAAAGCATGGGTGTTGGAACTCATGGTTGGTCACCCTGATCGCATCAAACACAATCTCAGTGTGAACCTCAATGTTTTCAATGGTTTGTTGAAAGTCCTACAAGCCAATGGGTTTGTAAGGTCCCGCAATGGAGTTTCTGTGGAGGAACAGCTTGCAATATTTCTGTACACCTGTGTCACAGGGCTCTTGACCCGCCATATCGGAGAAAGGTTCCAATGTTCATTGGATACAGTCTCACGGTAAGTAGAGAATCAATATTGTATTATAATTCGTCTAAGATCAAACTTATGACCCTAGGTACTTCAAGCACATGTTACTGTTCTTTTCAACACCTCCGTTTTACTCCTCACAGGTTCAATTCCCTAAACACAACACTCCCAACACTCCCATCTCTCCCACAATCTTAAACGATGTGCACGTCCGATTTTTTGATCAGTGCCTTGGCGCTGTTGACGGTTCTCACATCCGCGCATTCACCACCATTGAGGACCAGCTGTTCATGCAGAACCATAAAGGATATCTCTCTCAGAATTGTCTTTTCATGTGTAATGTCGACTTCTTTTTTATTTACTTGCTTTGTGGGTGGGATGGCTCTGTCACTGATGCGGCTCTCTGGAATGATGTGCACACAAAGGACTTGTGCATTCCCCCTGGAAAATACTTCCTCACAGATGCTGGCTTCGGGTCATGTGATGCACTGCTTGTTCTGTATCGCAGTGTGTGCTATCATCTCAAGGAATGGCTGGCAGGCTAACCTCAGGTATGTTCTCATGTTCTCATTCTCACAGCTTTTCTTGACCAGTGCATTTTTTAAGGCATCAGAATCCAAAGGAACTATTCAACCTCCAGCATGCAAAACTGCGCAATGTAGTGGAACAGATTTTTGGGGTAATCAAGCGCCAGTGGCAAATTTTACAACTACTGCTAGAGTACAACATGAGCATTTAAGCACGAGTGCCAGCGGCTTTGTGTGCCTTGCACAATTTTATTCGGAGGCACGACCCTGACACTGACCTACTCAATCAAGATGAATACAATGAGAACAACCACATCATAGACAACGGAGAGGATGGAGCGGCTCATGGGGAACTTGGGGATGGGCCTGTTGATGCTGCTGAGAGACGGTGTGCAGAACAGCGTCGTGATGCTATAGCACAGGCGATGTGGGAGGACTATTGTGCAGAGTCTATTCGGCGTGGACATCCATTAGTGTAGTACATTAGCATAGTACAAACTGATGGAATTTAACATGGTGTTTTCAAGCTGGTGCAAGACGATAGTCTTGAAACTCTCTGCAATCCGACCAGCAACATAAGCCATGGTAAGCTTGCGATCAATCATTTTGGCACGGTCGGTAATGGTTACATACTACTGCGGCGAATGTTAGTGAAGCATCTTTGCACCCACACAGATCTGAGCTTCTCATCCATATTCAGGTACTTGACGACCTCCCTCTCGTTCGATCCAAATAGTCTATCAAGTTGACTTTTTCATTGTCTGAGAATACAGTGCTTGTGCTGACCATTGCAACTGCATGTGCAAGATCCTTTGCAGATATTGCGGCTGTGGTGTCCGCAAGTGTTTGGTTGAAGTCCTTGAGCATGTCAGCAAGACTGACAATTGCACTGCTATTCTCCTGCTGCGCCTTTACAGCTGCTGAGGGAGGTCGGACTTGCTTTGACGAACTAGTAATTGAGATGTCTGAGCCTAGTGCACTGGCCTTCCACTTCTCTTGACAGCTGATGCTGGTCATAATGGAGGACACAGTGTTTGTGTCAGAAATGAGGAAGGTAGATGGAGCGGCTGGTGATGCTGGTACGATTCCAGGCTGAAATATGTGGTGTTTGACACTTGGAGAAGAGCCGATCTCATTTGTCACTGCAGTAAGCTGACTCAAGTTCAAGGTGGTGAGTGGTTGCGCTAATGGTGGAGCAGCAAGTGGTTGTGCTGGCGGCGGTGCAGTGCTGCTACTAGCTGCAGTAGTGGCAAGGGGATCAGAGTGTGACATATGATGTGCAGCAGGCGGAATGGATCCTGAGTCCTCGGACAATGTGACTGGAGGTTTGTTTTGGCAGACCCAATTGCCTCGGGACTTCCATGGCATCATGTGGTGAATGGCCTCAAAATGCAGGAAGCTCTTGTTCTTGAACAGTTTTGCAGCTTTATGGATCTTTCAAAATAATACAGGGTGAGTTGCAAGTATAGTTGAGACAGCCGCTACATACCTTGACAAAATTCATCCATGTTGCTTCATACTCTAACAAAATTCCTGCACCATCCACATCACTCCATGAGAATCCAGACACATTCTTGATTTCGAGGACACCGTAATAAAAGGTCTTCAGCTACAGAAATTACAATCAGTATTAACACCATGCAGCGTGCTGGCACACCCGTAGTAGTCAGTACTCACATTGGCCCATTTGGTCTGACAACTTGGCCATACCTTCTCACTGCCTTGCTGCTGGTGAAAATTGTCCTTGAGATGCTGGGCGGCACCCTGGAAAACTGTTTTCTTGAAGTTTGTGCCGGTGGCATCACCTGTGGTGCTCATGTGTTGTTGGAGGTACTGGATCAAGGCAGCTTCCTGCTCAGTAGTCCAGTAAGCAGCAGGTTTGTGACGTGTAGTAGTAGAGGGTGCATCAACCTGGCCTTTGGATCAAAGGGAATGGCTTGATCATGAGCTCAATGAGTGAGATCTTGTCATGATAACGATGTGTTGTCAGCGTAAGTATGGAGTGCACCGTTCCACCGAGTGGCATCCGGGATTCTCCTGGAGAGTCCCACAGCAAAATCACATGATGAATGTTTGAATTTTGAATGTGAAATTCGCTGTCCAAATGGCACCTTATATATTTCATCCTTGATCCTCCATGTCCTACTGACAACTGTAATGAATCCTCAACCACAACTCCTGCATTTTGTGCCCCCATGGCCAGGAACTCATGTTGGAAATACACTAAGGTAGTACAAATCTAAGTACAAATCTAAGTGCAAAAAGACAAATGGGGACACATACCTCAGTGTTGGGAATCAATGACTGAGGTATGCAAACAACAACCAGGAGAATACTTATGTTAGAATGAAGAACAGAGATTGAATGTGAAGTGATTCTGAAACATTGTGTCATCAAGGATGCGTGCTGCTGATCAATAGTAAAGCCTGATGAGCAAAATAAGTTGAGCTTGTTACCACGGTTGGCAGAGTGTCAAGAAAATCAAACATAACTTGATGCAGTGATGAATTCTGAAATGTTGTGTCATCAAGGATACAACTAATACTGATATTAGACTACAACATACTGCTTTCAGATCTGCTCTTCCGGTCTGACATCAGGAAAAAAGGTGACTACATAGTACTATATAGTCAGGGTAGTGCGAGTAGCCCCATCATCAAGTCCCCTCTATGTGCTCACCATAGAATCCTGTAGTAGCTACCAGTAGCTACCAGGTACTACTGTAGTCTGTCAGAGTGCTACTATAAGCAGCTATATAAAACCTTGGAACATGCAGTTACTGTTGGAATCTGAATCGCTCGTAGTGTGCTTACTTAATCAGTGGTACATATGTCAGTCACTATGTTCATAGTACCTTACCGACTTACGATGACAACGGGATTTCAACATAAGTAGGTTACACCCTGACTGCTGGGGTGGTCAAGAATTCAGCAGGGCATGAAGGGCTGCACTGCACACAGACCGACAGGTGAAGGGCTAACCTTGTCGGGACCGGACAGATCATTTTTCGGAATTCAAATTATTTTTTTTGTTGCTTGTTGATTATTGTCCCTACTACTATGTCAATTTCAGAAAGATTCTATTCATCTCCCAAGCTCAATGACACCAACTACACCACCTGGAGCATACACATGAAGGCAGTCCTCATCAAAAAGGGCCACTGGTCCCTCGCCTCTGGGAAAGAGACATTGGATGCATCCATCCAAGCTGATGCTGACAAACTTGCCACATTCCAGCAGTGCCAGCTTGAAGCCTGCTCAGAGCTCATTCTCGCAGTTGAAGACAGCCAACTCCCACACATGGATGGTGATGACCCCAAGGTTATTTGGGATGAGCTAGTCAAAGTGCATCATGCTCGAGGTCTATCTACCCAGCTTGCTGCCATTCACAAATTTGTCCGCTTGGAGAAAAAGGCTGACCAATCCATGTCTTCCTGGATCGGCGATGTTTGTGCGCTTGCGCACCACCTGAAATGTGTTGAAATCACACTTCCTGACATCTTCATTATCATTGTCCTCACTTCTGGACTCCCATCAGAATACGAGCCTGTTGTTGTTGCACTTGATGCAGTTGACTCAGCTAAACTCACTCTTGATGTCGCAATTGCTCAGCTCCTCAATGAAGAAGAGCACCATATTAGTCAGCAGCTGATGGCTGAATACAGATCCTCCGCTACAGATCCCGAGAGCGCTGCCTATGCCGCTTGTACACCAAATGTTACATGCTTTGGTTGTGGACAAAAAGGTCACTATGTTAAGGATTGCAAAAGGAGGACCTTGGAGAATGTGGAAGCCAAGGTGGCAGTTACTCATGGTCCAGATTTGTCAGATGAGCTGGAAGGTGTCTGGTGAGGAGAGTTGCATTTTTCTTGTTCATCCTGGACTTTCTTGCGATTCAGGGGGTGTGTTAGGTTAGTTACCCTTCTACATTACACTGAAATACTCACTGGCTTGCAGACCAAAGCTTGAGTCAGAGCCTATGATCCTGATCCCTCCGTATCATCAAACACCTGGCCCTATCACAGCTTTGCAGACTTACATGAACAAACTAATTGTGGAGTGTTGGGAGGCAGAAGTGAAAGCCTGTGAGCAAGCAAAAAAACTGAAACTGTTAGAAGTAGCACCAGGCCCAGCTATTAGCATCTTACAAGCAAGCATGCAAAGGCTCGTCATTGAGCACTGGGATGCAGAAGTGAAGCATTGCTGAGGAAGCCAAACGGGCGCAACTTTTAGAGGTTCTTCTGGCCACCCATGGTATCCTCAAAACTAGTGTAGCACATTAAGTTATCTACTCTCAGAGACAAAAAATTGACATACTTCATGCCAAAATTTGCACAGTATTGGTTATTAGCTCTCTTGATCTTGTTCTCTCGCTGGACAAGGAAAGAAATTGACATACAGTATTGGTTATTAGCTCTCTCGATCTTGTTCTCTCACTGGATGAGGAAAGAAATTGACATACTTCATACCGAGAAGTATTGGTTATTAGCTCTCTTGATCTTGTTCTCTCGCTGGACGAGGAAGATTGTAATGGAGGTTGCAAACAACACACCATGACTCACGACACACTGTGTTGGAAACTAGGCAAGATGTAAGTATCATTTGAACCAATCAGATAAGAGCATGTACACCAGAAATATCAGTTGAGCTGGTCAGCAGGATAGCCAGTACCAGTTCTGGATCTCTGCATATCTTACTGTAGACAGGATGTAGAAAAACCAGGGTAAGCACTCCTCATGGATCGTCCACCAAAAGAAAACTTACTGTATCTGATTGTGGCATGACACATGGATCAAGTCTAAACCCAGATCTAGTTGTGGTGTGGCATCCAGTAACTGCACCCAGTTTGAGTCTAGACCAGGCCATTGAAAAAAACTGCGCATACAATAAGGCAAGCCACACAAGACCAGGAACACTTACCTACCATGTCGCAGTGCTGCACATTTTGTGGCAAGGAGCTCCCTATAAGGGGGGGGCATCAAGAGACACATAACTAACCACCTTAAATGTAGAAGCGCATGGGAGTTAATGATCGAAGAAAAAGACTTGGAAGTCACTGCAGAGATCCACAATGTTAGCAACTCATTTTCCCCACTTTGCCACTCACGGTCCAACTCTTTCAATGCTGATAAACATAATCCAGCAGTGCCAAAAAGTCGGTGTGTGACAGTTGAGGATGTTGCTGACAAAGGTGAGGTTGTAGAAGGTGGTGGGAGACATTTCAAGCAATGTTCTGATGCTGGATGGGCACTGCAGGAAGGGGAAACTGACTTTGAAAGGTGTTGGAAGTACAAGGAAGGCATGGGTGAGGACGAGTGGGCTCCATTTTTTGATGAGTATGTACCCTATCACATTTATAACCTCTGCCTGACTTTAGCTGCCAGGGAAGAATGGGGTCTCATTGAGTGGCTTATAAAAAGCCTTGGGCAGACTTGAACTGATGAATTTCTAAAGTTACTGATCGTAAGTTTGACATTGAGCACCCAAAAAATGTACTGACCAGCATGATAGACACAAAACTGAATGCAACCTTCATTTCACAACAACCAGTCATTTCTCAAGAAGGTTGATGAACTCCTGCATGGAGCCGCCTGGAGCTGTAAGAAAATTAGCATTCAAGGAAATAGAAAAGACAAAAAAGGCGAACCGTTGCATGAAGATGTCGAAATTTGGATGCGCAATCCTGTGGAGTGCGATAGCCACACCACAAAGAAAGAACATCACCAAAAGTCCTAAACTTAGGTAAGACGTGATCAGGTCTTATCATCCGGTATCAGCCTCACCACAGTCACCATGGCCTATCAGCTCAGACCAGCCTCAGGTTATTCTAGATGGTCAGATCATGAAACTGATTTTTGCTCATTTGACCATCAGCTGATGGGTCATGCATCATAACGGACATGTGGTGACTGCTTAGCAGGCCTGAGCAATTTCAGACACCTTACAATAGCTTATTGCAGTAGAATGGTATTATAAGCACGTATCATTGTTGTAGTACATGACATTGATTATACACACTGAGCTACTGTAAATGCGAGTGAACTAGGAACTTGTTGTACAAGCATGGGAGAAATGAACTGCGAAGTGACCAGAGGGAATATGCAAATGCAAAAGTGAATGTCCGAACCATGGAGAATCGTACAGTGAGAGCAATCGGTGAGTGACGGGAGACATGAGTATGTAAATGATGCATCAAATGAGCTGGACTGTATTGTGGTATCAGAAAAATATCTAGAAAAAGAGTGAGTACATACCGGAGAACACCAACTACTTTCTTCCTTTGCATTTCTTAGTAGCGGTGGTGGTAGTCTTCTTTCGGCCCTTCCTGCCACGCTTTGAAACAACTGGGCTGTCCGGCACAGACTCAGCTTTGCTGAGTGAGCTGTCACTGTTGCCGTCAACCTCCAACTCCTCTGACTTTCGCTTCTTGGTCTTGTCGGATGTAGGAGCAGGAGTATCAGGCTTCGGAGGGGGGACAGACGCCAGGGAAGGTGTGGAAGAAGAGCTCGTGCCAGCTGGTCAGATGGGACGCGGTTTAGGGATGGACTTCCGCTGCGGGGAAAGAGTGGGTATCTCCTCGGAAGGTGGAGAAGTAGTGGGCGGGAGGTAGCGGGCATGGAGGTAACGGGTGTGGAGGTAGCAGGCGTGGAGGTGATGGGCGTGGAAGTAGTGGCCGTGGAAGGATGCACTGTCAAAATGTCGGGATCACCAGTAGGCTCGGCTTCAACTGGGGGAATGACAGAGGCGGCAGACTGAAAATAAAGATGTATTAGTTGGAAATGTCATACTAGGATAGACAATGAAAAAACCTGGACTTCGTGCCGCTGCACACTTTGCAGATTGCTTCCTCATGAGAATGAGGTCAGTCGTCATCCTCGTCGTCATCAATGACATCGAACAATGGGACACCCCGTTTATTGCCAAAGACCGTCCTTGGTATAATTAGTATCGTAAACACAAAAAAAAATTGTACTGACTTGTTCCACCATTCCAGAAGTTCCTCAGCCCACACTTCATCAAACGGCTCTCGGATTGCTTTGATCGTGCAGTAGTATGCGTCGCAGGTAGCTGTAGTTCCCATCTGTCTCTTGCCATTTGTTGCATGATGAGATTCCAAAGCGACTCTAGAATACAAATGAGACCTTAATGCATTTGACACCAAAGTACATACCTGAACAAGTGCATAGGCAATGTGTTCGGCCTCGACCTTATACATGCCATGCAATTTCGCATTGCCGGAGCGCGTGACAGACAGCTCTCCATTGTCAATGAGGGTGGATGACGGACTAGTATAGATGTGCCGAAGTACCTACATATTATCATATATCATCAAACAAAATAGCGAAAATAAAAGAAATAAAAACATACACACTTTAGAAGGTGACCCCTGAGGAGACCTTCCTGAATGTCTTCGGCATCGAAATCAACACCTGGAGGATCACCAGGGTATGCTAGTGCAGGCCAGGCACCTGCATTCATCCTGATTTCACCATTTTGAAGTTGTTCCTGTACCCTGAGAGACGTGAGTAAGACATCACCATGCCAGTCAAGTAAACACTTACTTCTTCGGATCAGCATGGTATGCGTTCACATGCTTGACCGGACACAACATGCCCGCCAGCTGTGGGTGATTCACACCCATTCTAGCACGGGACTTCTTGTTCTCTGAAAAAATCGGAGGTTCCAGTCCCTTGACCTCAGGTTGGGCGACCGCGTAGTTACCAATGAATGGTTTGAGGTGACTGGCATCCTCAGAGCAGATTTGGCCAATGATTTCCTGCATCTTCTCATAGGGTAAGTATTATAAGATAGTTAGTATTCATTAGAAGATGTACCTCGGATAAAATGCTGTTTAACTCCGTTTCTAACTTGGTTCTGTTGCGGTGACCTCGAATGAGAGTTCAGAGATGAGGGGCAGAAAAGAGGATCCTCTGGTAAGTCTTCAAGTGACGCTCTTGAGCATCTTTAGTCCTGTACAATAGTTAGCATTCATAATAACAACAATAGAAAGAACTTACATGATGCTGAGAGCGTCTTTTCACTCTCTCTTGAGGTCTTCATCCTCAGATTCAGTCGAGGTCTTGGCAGCTTCTTCAGCTTCCATGTACCTGGCAATATGAAAGGTATCCTTGAGGATGACGAACATGTCGATACCACAGGGGATCCAGCGTGCGACATGCATACACTCTTCCCTCCCACTCCGAGTAGGTCCTGATCCTTTCCTATTGATTGAAAATAGTCAGTGTCTTGATCACAAGTAAGGCATCAACTTACTTGTCATTGGTAACCTTACTAGTAGATTTTCTAAGAATATATGCGCTATAAGTGGAACAAAGCAGCCATATATTGATGACGACTTACTTCATAAACTTTTTCTCAAGCTTTTTAGGCTTGGCAGACCCCTTTCGAGACCCTGGGATGTGTAAGACACGTCGCGATCAGCAATCCTTTTGCGAAATACTGATTCTTACCCAAAGAAGACAGCTCATCTACAGATGAGGCGGATGACTCCTCAGAGGACGATGTCCCATCATTGCTACTCTCCGGCTCAGATCGCAAAAGGCTGAGGCTGGAGGATTTCTTGTGGTGTCGGGCCATGACAAAACAAATGGAGAAGATGAAAAGTGATAAGAATTTAGAAAGACTAGGACGTGTCGTGATTGCGTGTTATTTGATGTTATTGATATCGGAGACTCAAATACTCACAGAAACAGATAACCAAAGAGGGAATTTGCGATGAAACAAATGTGCCGAGTGAGGGAAAATTATATGCAGTATGTGGACAAACGCGCGCACGCACAATCAGACGCGACACACAATACAATTGAGCAAGATTTACACAACATGATACAGCTGAGCAAGATCTAAGAACAATGTTGTAATTTACAATGCGAGGGAATCCATTCAATCTTCCAGCACTTCATCGGCTCTTCTAGTTACTTAGTAACTCCAGGGCGCAGTCAGGTTTGCAGGATCTGGATTGGGGTTACCCATGCGCCTGGTGAGAAGGTTGCATGGGGAAGCAATGACAGGCCTGTCAAGATTAACTGAAATTTGAAAATAAAAAGATCAGCGACTTACTGAGATGAAGTCTGATTGGTCGCAGACTCAGCAGGCTCCACAGCCTCCTCAACCTGTTCTCGAATGCGAAATATGATTTTCTGCGAAATTTAAATAAGCTTTAAGATGAATTTGAATATGAGAATATTACCTTGATGCCAGGGGTGTCAATGTTCAAGTTGAAACAGTATGTACCATCCAAAGATACCACATTTCAAATGTCTAGGAATACAATGTCACCAAGGACATTGACAGCAGCATTCCATGACAATGGAGCAGACATATTTAGAGTGATCGATATGAAAGCTTATGAAAGTGGATAAAATGGGGATAGTCGAGGACGTTATGTCCTGCAAGTTACCGATTCAGATGGAGTTTGAAATTAATATCAACCATTTGAATCACTTGTCCTGAAATCATATGATATTGTATTATCGGCCGCAAAACCTACCATGTGACTACCAGGTGAGTTGCAACCTATTCTGTATTACTGACTATCCTATCCTATATCTACAGCAGGACCATCTCCGCGAATGGAACCCTTCCCTTATGGACGAGCTCACTACCTTTTCCTGCGCCGGCGAAGTCACTGGCGGTGACACCTTTGGGTCCCCATACATGTGAGTCATCATTCAACTCACCACTGGCACCAATTGATCGCCTTTACAGGCCTCACTGATCTGAAGCATTTGAATGGCGCGCTGAGATCTGCATTGGCATCTTATATCATGTGGATATGCGGCTCAGAGTAAGTGTTCCTTGGTATATCTCACTGGTCCTGGTATGTTCTGTCTCTCACCTAAATTTTTGAATGACGACTCACTGTTGTAGATGGTCCTAATTGTAGATTTATATGTACTGTATTCAGCCTGCGCAATAACATTTGTTTTGCAGCCATGCATGTTTGATCGAGCTAAGTGTAGGGTTATAAAAGTGGCCCACCCCCTCCTGCACATTCGCTACCTGGTCCAATGGACTTGCCTGTTTGCATCAGGTGCGGCAAGACATTCCCAGCCCAAAAGTCTCTCTCTGCGCATGCTGCTCGCTGCAAAAAACAAATTACTGAAACTAGCAGATTCAGTGCAGCACAGCAGCAAAAAGAAATGCGAGTTGGAAAAGACTCATGGCAAGAAGTCCAGCGAGCACGCAGTGAGCGTGCAGAGGTAATTCAGGTAGGGATAGATGTCGAAGAACAATTGGACTATGGAGGAATGGATGTTGACCATGCCATTTCCGAGCAGGTGAGTTATAATAACAAATCTATTAAACTATGCTAATTCTATAAGGTCGAGGATGTTGCAGGACCATCAAACATCCCCCGTTCACCCTCACTTCCCCCAGTCACTTCAAAGCGCTCTGGACGTACAGTACGCATGCCTTGGCACTTCATCGACTACCTCCCTGGATCAGCCACGCACCTCGCACATATGCCTCCCACTAACCGGCAGCAACAAGGGCGTGTTCTGCACGAAGCAGATTAATCTCATCATGTTCCAGCACCATCTCCATCCCCAGCACCTTCTTCTGAGCCAGAAGATCCCTGCCCTGCGCTCATCCCTTTCCAGACCGAACCCGACACCATGGGTCTTTATCACGTGTACCCAACACGTCCCACTTTAGCTCCAGAGGGTCTCTTGACCTTGGAGGGTGTTACTGATGCTCCCACATTAGATGGGGAGCACGTTAATGAAGGTGTTCATCCAGGACTTCCTTCACCTGGAATTACCTCCGATCAGCTTTTTGAAGCTTTTACAAACCCTTCAGCAGGTATTTTGATGGCATGGCAGTACACTGGAACAAACGAGAAATCTGGTGCTGAGTGGGATCATCTCGTGCATTTCCTTAAGGACCCTCTTTTCAGACTGGAAGACCTGGGCAGCTTGAATCACACATGCGAACTCAAACGATTGGATGAATACCTCAAGAATAAAGCTAACCCTCTTTGAGAAGAGTATGGATGGCGCCAATCTACTGTCAAGATCCACCTGCCAAAAGAAAAAGAGAAGCTTAAATCAGAAAACGACGCACCAGAGCTTGAGATTCCGGGTGTTCATCACTGTTGCCTTACTGATCTCATAACGCGCGTGTTCAAAAATGAGGTCTCGAAGACCTTCAATATGACGTCATTCCAACAATACTGGAAGACCCCTGATAACCGTGATATTAAAGTTTTTTCTGAGTCTTATTCCTCCCCTGCCATGCTTGAAGCTTATGCAGAAATCAATGCCCTCCTGCATGAACCTGGAGACGAGCTTGAGCGTGTTGTCGCCTCGGTCATGGTTTGGTCGGATGCAACCCACCTGGCTAACTTCGGAGATGCATCTCTCTGGCCATTTTACGTGTATTTTGGTAACCAGTCCAAGTACACACGAGGAAAGCCGACAGCTCGGGCGTGCCATCATTTGGCATACATTCCTACGGTATGTATCTTTATATATCTTTAACATTTTGCTTACTCGCTCTCTCAGCTTCCTAAGAATATACAGGAGATCTATATGGATATATTTGGCGAGCCAACAACAGCCAGTGTGCATACTCACCTCAAACGAGAGTTGATGCACGCTATATGGAGTTTAATCTTGAATGGAAAATTTATGGAAGCATACAAGCATGGACTAGTGATCCAGTGTTCTGATGGGATCACGCGGCGAGTATTTCCGCGTTTTTTCTCTTATTCTGCTGATTATCCTGAAAAGTAAGTACTAACTAATGTTAAGTATGAATTGCAAGGCATTGATATATTATCTAGGATTCTATTAGTGACTATCAAATTCCTAGGGCAGTGCTCATGCCCCCGCTGTCTTGTGAAAAAGACAGATGTTTGCAAGCTGGGGATGAAGCTCAATATGAGGCGGCGGGCCACACGTGAGCGCGTCAACAATGCAACATGTCGACGACATGTTGAAGAAGCCCGGGCATTAATTTTCCAGCTTGGAGTGCCAGTAGATGGTGCTCGTGTCAAAGCAATCCTCGACGATGAATCATACATTCCGATACGGGTAAGTAGTCTTATGTACTCATTGTGCAAATGCCTGACAACTGGTTTTAGAACACTTTTTCGGAGCGATTTGAGAGACATGGACTCAATATGTTCAAGCTATGGGTGGTTGAACCAGCTTCACAAGTTTGAGATAGGGTCTTGGAAGGCCTTATTCACCCATCTCATGCGAATACTTCATGCTGCTGGGGGGACTGCAATTCAGAAGCTCAACGAGCGGTAAGCTTTTTGATTTTCAATTTATACCAGGCCTGAACTATGTCATTTTAGGTACCGAGCAATGCCCACATTCGGGAGAGGGACCATCCGCCGTTTTCACACCAATGCATCCGCCATGAAGAAACTTGCTGCCCGCGACTTCGAGGATCTATTACAGGTAAGTAGTTCGTTTAGCCTTACAATTTGCCTCACAGTTTGACCCAATTTTTGTTCTCTAGTGTGTGATACCTGTATTCGAAGGGCCTGCTGCCAAAGGAACACAATATCATTGTGCTCGACATGCTATTTGACCTGGCTGTGTGGCATGGGTATGCGAAACTACGTATGCATACTGGACGACACACTGGATTTTTTCGACACAGCTACCATTGTACTCGGTCAGTCAGTCCGAAAATTCGCGAAGACCACATGCAATCACTACCATACCACTGAACTCCCTCATGAACATGCAGCACGAGGATGACGCGAGGCAGCACTGGCTGCTAAACAGCCACAGGTACCTACAAAGGGAAAGGAGAGGGCTGGTTCGAAATTCAAGCCTCTCAATCTTTCGACTTATAAATTTCACGCACTCGGAGATTATGCTGATATGATTCGGCGCACCGGTACCACAGACAACTACAGCACACAGCCAGTAAGTATATTTCCACTCGAACAGTTCTAATATCAAGTTCATGTTTGTATTATTAGGGCGAGCTGGAGCATAAACGAGCCAAGCGTTGGTACCCAAGAACACCCAAAAATCAAACTATGGTTGCTACTATGATGCACCTTGAGGCTCGAGAGCACATCATTGCCAAGATCAATAAACAACGAGAGGAAATAGCACATCCCCCGATGCAACAGGCGCCATGCGAGCGCACATCTCCTGCCTTGCATTACCATATCTCAAAATATGCAAGAAGTTCTTACGACATCACTGCATGGCTCAGTGGACTCACAGGAGACCCGGCAATTAAGGTAAGTTGAAATGATCATTGTATGAATAGTTTTATTAACCCAATGCTCAGAGCTTCATACCACGCCTCCAAGACCATTTGTTGGGCTGAATTCACAGCATTGATTATTCAGGGGACGAGCAGGAATTCTCTGATGACGACAGGAACCAGATTGTTCTTGCCAACAACCAGCTTTTTGAACACAGTGTCCTATGGATCAACTACACTACTCACGACCTTCGGAGAGAACAAGACTCAATTAACTTGTGCACTCATGCTGACATTATAGTATTGTCACACGAGGATGACAACGATCGACATCCATACTGGTACGCTCGCGTGGTCAAGATTTTCCATGTTAATGTTTGGTATTACGGTCCGGGCAGTAGCAATGTACAAACACCAACACGCATGGACGTAATTTTCGTGCACTGGTTCAGTCGTGATACCATGTTCAAAGCTGGTTGGTCAGCGAAATGACTCCATCGCATTGGTTTTTTCAAGTGCGATGACCCGGATAGCTTTGGCTTTGTTGATCCGGATCAAGTGATCCGTTCTGTTCATTTGATTCCGGGATTCGAACATGGCCATACTGACACCAGACTCGGCCCCTCATTTGTACGTCCAGCAGAGGATGACGATGAAGATTTTTTGTATTTCTATGTTAATCAGTACCTGTTTTCTATTTAATTGGTATTGCTATACACTGATATAATGAATAGCTTTGTTGATCGTGATATATTTATGCACTTCCATGGAGGTGGTGTCGGTCACCAGGTCACACGAGAGTGGGATGAATTCTTGCGACATGATGGTGCTGTGGTTTCTGTTGACAACGATGAAGACCTGGAGTTTGAGGTTGGCGACAATGACGACGATGAGGATGGCGAGGATGATGGGGATGATGGCGAGGATGACGAAGATGATGGCGACAATGACAACGACGGCGAGGATGGTTGTGAAGAGGGAATCGATGATGAAGATCAAATTAGGGCTGACGAGGGAGAAGAGCTTGATGACGATATTCTCACACAGGAGGGATATGGAGCTTTGTAACATTACATTCGAGATACACACTTATCACATTTAATCAGACTTAGGGCACATACTAAGGGAATATCAGATACGGACGAGACTTATAGCAGAATATCATTTGAGTCCAAGTATAATGTATACATGAATCCACGATGGACTTGACAAGCTCCTTCCATTGACCGTGTGTTCGAAGTGGACTGTGTGTATTGCGCAGAATATCAGGGAGGGATCAAACTTAGAGCGGTATATCATTGGCATATCAGGATGACAGAAGCATCTCATTTGCATAGCACTCACAGAAACAACGGTAAGCTTCGAACTACTCGACGTCATGATGATCGAGCGCTGGCGTCATCTTTTCAACACTCATAACCCTTGACCCAGAAAATCTCGTGACCGTCAGCCTAATAAGGTAATACCTGTTTTCTGGACTTTTGGTGATGAAAGTGTGTCAGCAGTTGGTTCAACTTCGTGGTGATGAAGTCGACAGAAATTCAGATAGGAATTTTAGGCCGAAGCTGTTGTGGATTCAATGGCGCAACCAAGGGCAAGAGAATGCTCCAATTGTAAGTGTTCGAGAGTCCAAGCTTCCCGTACGGGCTGCTTGGACCTTGTCATACTGGGGATCATTTTTGTTTTGCCCCCAGCGCATCCCGAGGGGGTTTGAAGTCGAAAATTTGTGCGGTTGGCACCAGATCCTTCACAAGCTCATTGTAAAAGTGTGACAGTGCATCTGCAATAACATTCTGCTGGCCTGGAATATGCTCAACCTGAAGGTCAACATTACAAGAAATCAAGACGTCCATAGCTGATATCAACAATGAATTATAGGCAGGCCGTGCGTGAAGGGAGTCGAACATTGCGACTGTGTTGGAATTGTCTGTGTAGACGAGTAGTTTTGCTGGAGTTTCATCCATATTAGAGAGAGCATGGATAGCGGAACATACTGCCAATGCTTCGAAGAAGAAAATAGTGTCCCGAGGAGCATCACCAGGCAATGGTGACTGACATGCAAAATTCTCATCTGGAAACCAAAGACCCATTCCAACTGCTGATGCATCAGTGTAGACAACAATGACATCATCTCTCAAAGGATCAAAGTCTAAACATCTGAAAAGATGTAGACCGTCTAGATATTCAATATGATCAGCGAGCCAATGCAACTCCTGGAGTAGAGTGTTATTGACATGTATTTGAGCGAAGACATTGTTCTTCCCTCGGATTTTGTCGTAGAGCACCGACAAACCCAGCTTCAATAAAGGAAAGTCATTGAAGCTCCATTCGCACCAAACCGCAAGACACTAAAATTCATGCAGTGACCAATGGTGGTTTCTCTGCGTGAAACAATGTAATTCTGTAACCAACTCGGCCTTCTTATGAGGTGGCAATGTAACCTGCATAGTGTTGGGATCGACTTCAAAACCAATGATAGTCAATGGTGCGCCATATACTTGTTTTGGTCATTCATGCGGGAGATTAAGATCATCCCACAGTTGTAAGAGGCGAGTTTGTTTGGCGGGAAAGTAGCAGTCATAAGGTGCATAATAGAGAACACGTCCAGCGATTTTGAAAGAGAAAGAGTCATCCATATAGGTCTTTAGAGCATCAATGAGAATTTTGTGAATAGCAATCCACATGACGAGAGACATGAATGATATCCAAATTTTTGGTGATCCTCAACCTCCAAAGTTATTGTTACAATCTACGTGTCGTTGACCATGGACTGTGAGGATCTGCTTGACCTGCCATAAAGGATGCATAGGTAATCGGCGAAAAGCTTGTGAGACGTCAGATTTGAACATGACAAGTTTAACCTTGGGATGTTGTTCTCGAAAGCGAAGCAAAGAGGCACCAAGTGAGTGTAGTCCATCAAGCTTAGGACCTTTAATGGCATCCCGGTCAATCATAGAGTTCAGAGAGTACTCGCCCACATTATGATCTACAACCAAGTGAGGTTTGTCGGAATTAGGTTTGGGGACAGTATGCATTGGCACACCGTACATTCCTAGATACAGCTCAGTTCCAAAACTCTGTGATAATTGACCCAAACAAATTTCTTCTCGCATCTGATCCTCAATAAATTGCAGTTGTTCATCAGACTTCAAACAAGTATGTGAGGAGTTGTCATTGATTGATGGATACAAATCATCAGAGGTGTCGGCCCAAGGCCAGAAACCTTGATGCAAAGCTTGACAAACAGAAATGACAAAGGGCTGATTTGGGTGATCCATAAGAAGCTCCTCAAAGCAGTCAACATTGATGGGTGTAACAATACGAAATAGGTCTTGCCTTCGAGCAATAGTCTGAGCAGCATCACTGTGATAGACTTCATGTGAAGGTGGAGAAGGAACAGGATCTGAATATTCAGAAGAGCAAGCAGTGGGACTGAAAAAAATATCCACAGGTGACCAAATAAGGCCCCATCTATGTTGTGGATGTTTGATTGGATGATCAAGTGGATTTGGGCTTGGACTCCTTGAGATGCCTCACTTCAGTGTGACATCGTGCACACAATCTGCCATCTTGCTCATGTGAACAGACATGTGCATAGCGGCAGGTTTGAGCACTGCATGTGCACTCTCCTGAGTTCCATTTTCAACAAGGTTCTCATCGATTGAAGGTAGTCTTATCCCGTGCTGATGCACTGGGCTTTGACTGCTTGTCCTCCTCATGATGTCTTCCATCTGATAAGAAATGGGACTCATATATGTCTGCAAAGGATGCAAAGTCCAATAATTCAACCCTGCGAGAATTTGCAGCTCTGTTCCTGACTGCTTTGTTGAATCTAATGATTCTCTCATGGGCACACGACACTTCGGTCAAATTTGTCATTGATTTATTCTCCATAGGTGGCAAGTTCATCCTCTCAATGAGGGAATGCGAATTTAATAGCTCTTGCTGCTCTATTCCATGCTGCAGACCACTGAGCAGTGGTGGTGATCTTCTTCGAGACTGCCTCAGTAGCGGTGGAGAATTTGATCTCAATGTCACCAATGGTTTCGGTGCATTTGTCAATAGTGCGTGAGGAGGAGATGATGGAATGTACGGTGTCGAGATTGACACATTTACCAGCAACAATTTCTGCCCATCCAGCTTCATAGAATTCTGGGCAGCAATGGTGGTACATGAGCCTTTATCAAACCTCTTTAGGGTCTTGTGACCAGTTGAGAAGGATTTCATTGGTCCGAGTGAGATTGGCCAAGAGCTGACCTCCTTTGAATGATTGCTCAGCTCATCCAAGACAGGTGAGGTCAAGTTTACATCGTTTTCGTACTGGTTCATCTAGCTCAATGGTGGGCTCATTCTCATGGGACTCTCTCTCATGTTCATCCTCTCTAGGAGGGTCGAGGTCTCTTTCCTCAGATTGTCAAGCAGCATCATGTTCCTGAAATGCTCTGGTCCTGTCAAAGTCTCTGGACCATTGTTCAACCATGTCGAAGTATGGAGCCGTGATAAGACTCGGCTTGATCTGAGATTTTGTTTGAGGCAGCTGAGACAACCTTTGTGATAGTGACATTTGCTTCTTGTTTTGAGATGATTGATTATTTGAAATCTTCGACGATGCTGAGGCACTTCTCCACCAAGTCCTGTTGGGAAACAGACAATCCTCCAGCGTTGGTTTGAGATGAAGTCCCTGGTTGTCTTGGGCTGTAAGTGATGCTTGTGTGTTGGAAAATACATTTTGCGAACTAGACATGGAGGTACGACCGAATTCGAAGATAGAATTAGAATTCAATAAATAGCTTAAATTATGGCGCAGGATGTGCGCAAGCAGAGGGTGCTCAATGCTGATGACAGTCGAGATGAAGTCTGTGTCACCAGTGTTTAGGAGACCTAGTCACAGGCATATGTCACAATCAGTGACAAATATGTGCACAGACCTAGGACTTGGCTAGAGCCGAGTGTGAGTCATTGCTTCAACTTGTTTAAATCTATTAAAACTCGATGCAATGATTCACTTGAGGCAGAGAGCATGTTGATTGTGTTATCATGAGAAAAGAGGAAGGAGCGTTATGGCAAACAAAACATGCACAGTGTTTTTTAATGAGTCATGTGATATGATGTAATGTGGCTCGTTTGGACCCCCAGCTTTCAAAAGCTGGGGGTCCAAACAAGCCACATTACATCATATAGCAACAGAACAGCAACAAAGAAATCTCAATTCTCAATCATTACATAATGGCAAGTTGGCAACAGGCAGGCAGCTGTGCAGATACAATGTTTTTACAAATAATAGGTAATACTGTACGAGTCTGTACAGGTATTCAACATTCAATAGCTTCAATATAGTAACCAGGAGTCCTTGTACTCATGTAAAGTCAGATCTAGGTGACCCTAGTCTTTTTCCGGCGCGGAGTAGAAGTAGCTGCATGCAGGGGGGGGCTATTATGTGGGTGCAAACTTGCAATCACATTAGTTCAAAAGTAGGAACATTGTGAGTGGACTACTCACATCCGAGTCGATCTGAGAAGTGGCAGACATGGAGGCACTGCCTCAATTAACCAGGGAGAATGTGAGAATGGAGGGAAATGTGTGATAGGTGCATCAGGCTGGTTGAAATCCAGCAAGCACGCAGCTGGTGCAGATGATGAACAAAGTACGTTATAATTGGGATCCTCTGAGAATGCAAGAGAGCGTGTGTAAATGAGAATCATTGCGAACTCGACAGGAATTCCCTGACACAGATCTTCAATGGTAGTGTTGACTTTACATTTGAGTATTGAAGAGCTGCAAAGTTTGTCTTTGTCGCTGGTTAACCACGGAAGGGAACCATGCAAGAAGTATATTAACATGTATGTAAGTGACTCGAGGTCATCACGACGACCCAGTTCAACTCCCAAGTGATTGTTGACCAAAGCAAATGCAGGAGTGCCAGCAAGACGTTGACCTTGCCGAAATGGAATGTGGACATTGTTTGATGTGTTCCAGAACTCCTTTGCAATCCCAAAATCAATAAGAAAAATGGTGTCACTCAAATCACCAAGCCCCACAACGACATTCTGCAGTTCTATATCACCATGAAAATAATGATGTGAGTGAATATATTTGAGGCGTGAAAGCTGGGAAACAGAGTTAGTGATCTGCACATGCAACAACCCACACATCAACTGACCAGCTGGTCTCCCAGATTCACAACAGTTTCAAGGCTGAATTTGTTGTTGTGGGTAAGGAATAGGACATGTAGTGATGGCCCAAGGAGGTCGAGAACCAGAGCGTGATATGTCAACTCCCTACCAAACCAATGGACATGGGGAATACCAACACCACCTTCAAGGTGTTTCAAAACTTTGTATTTGCATTGCACAGAAGATGAGTGGATGATGGGTTCAAGCTTGATGGCAACTGCATCCTTCTTAATGATGTTTCGTGCACAATACACAACAGCTAATTAGCGGGGTCAAATTGTTGAATCATTGTGTAGTTGGTAATATATGAATGACATACCATATGAACCGGATCCCAAAATGTCTCCCAACCTAAATCTTCCATCAACTTGAACGGGGACCTTAGTATGCATTGTGTATTATACAAAGCAACAATTTGCCTTCCACACGCCGCATGGGTATTTCAGCTTGAACTGGCTTAAGCCAGCTTTAAGCAGTTCAAATATGTTCGGCTTGTGATTGCTGTAACTGGTTCACATGGCTTACAAGTCAAACTGAGTCCATACTCAGTGGCTTGACTCACGTGGATCACCAAACCTCTGGCTTATCGGTAAATACCTAACCGGAGTGGACCGTAGCCAAGCTGTGGCACTACTAACTGTACTGTTCACTTTGTCTGCCCTCAATGTCATATATGGTGTATGGGTTCACCATCTACCATATCTCTACTGTATGTGTACAGCCATCTACCATATATGGTATGGTGTGCAGCCCTACATGTGAGATTTGAATCAAACATTTTTCTTCAGATCTTGCTGTCAGTTAAATGACTTTCTTTTACAATATCAAAATGGTTTGTAAAATGTTGAATTTCGCCCAGGATTTGGCAACTCATCATTTTATTTTTATTTTTGCTGTGTTAAAATGTATAGTCAGAATGTCAGCTTTATCACTAACATTCTGAAACCGGTGAAAAACTCCCAAACTGCCAATGTGTAAGCAGAACCATGGACCGGACCATCGGTTCGGTCCGATAATGGTCCAGTTCTGGTTCAGCCCATGGTTCAAACCGAGAACCGGATCATGCAATTAACACCACTTCCAAACTACTACTATCCCTTAGTCAAATATCATAGTCAAGCTTGCCATCATGATGATGTTCAGTCATTACTCGTTGAATTTCTTTGTGGAGTTTGTCTTGTGTATCTTGAGTATCAATGCTAACATCAATTCATTTCCCTTAGCCATGCAAAAGCATGACACACTAAGCAAGACATCCCACACCAAACACCTCAGGCAGATTGTTCAGGCCGTCCTAATGTCTTCAGAGCGACACTCATGCAATACAAGACTCACCAAGACACAGCGTGTCCGAGCGCAGCAGGACTGCATCCTATGTGAGTTTGGTCAAGCCAGAGATCAAAATTTTCATACTGTCCCTTATTACTTGACAATCGGTTTGAACCAGGTTCAAGAATTCTGCAAGTCCTCGAACCATGGACTTGACCTGGCCATCACTAGCAAGGACCGATGATCAAGACCAAGGCCAGATCGCAAGTGGGGCTTAGTGGGCCAAGTCGTCTGTCAAGCCAGACACTCATCAACTTGGCGCATGGTGTGTTCCCCTTTCTGTTCTGAAGGAGCTCATGGCAGACGGGCTTCATGAGGAAGTCCTTCAGATGATGGAATGGACTGGACTGGACATTATGCTTACTATGGAGCACTGAGTCAGCCGTGTTGTAACATCGAGGCTGTAGCGGCACATTGGTCTTGGCAACCCACTGGCAACGAGGTGCTCACTGCCGGAATTGATGATTGTGACAATGTTGCAGTGAACCTAGTCTATTAGCAGCGCTGCAGCTCGGCAGCCATCACAGTCGATACTGATTGTTATTACATTAGTATGAAGAATCTATATACAACAATTTACATCCTATGGTTTTCAATAGCGTTATGGATTTCAAGAAGAATTGTGTTTTGCCTGTCGATGGCCGCTTCAATCCTACTCACAGCCTGCATCACTTTAGCTAATGATTCACCTTCAAACACCTCAAATTTCCTTCTGATCCTCCTAGTGCATTTCTCGAGCAGAAGCTCAACAACAGGTACTGATGTTGCCCTCACATTAGCAACGTCCTGGCCAAAATTACATGGAGTCTGCGTGTGGTGGTGAGTGTGTCAGTCGAAAATTGAGTTGAGTGTACTCATGTCATCTTCATTGTTATTGTCATCAGACTTCTTTCGCTTTAAACATGGTGCATTGGCATTGTTGTGACCGCCATCTCAAGCTTCCAACAGCTGAAATTGGAGCTGTTAAAATGGCCACCTATAATCCGCAAGCACATACCAGCTCAGTTCCTTCATATCGTTCAGCTTGAAACTCGTCTGCAACTTGAAGCTGAAATGCCTGCTCATTGTCTGGAGGTGAAAGTTCGGGTTTGAATGCTGACAACAGATCTCGCGCGCTGCTTGGTGTAAATCACCCTCAACTTGCAGGGATGCTGTGCCCCATCAAGCATGCGAAAAGCATATCATGAGGACCCTAAAAAGTACGTATGGAATATATGATCGTCAATCATCTTATTGGTGACTTTCAGGGTACAAACTCAACTTCAGAATGGAGATATCAGGATCCACTCCTGCTGCATGACCTGCATTTATATATGAAGGCGCTCCACCAGGAAAAGACTTCGACCCAGACAATGTTCAGGAGGGATTTTTAAAGGGTTATTATTTGAAACAAGTAAGCTCACTTTGTCTCATCAACATTATCTCATGCAATATTCAGGTTTTTCGTCACATATTTACATCTCCGTCATCTGCACTCATTCCGGATGGAGAGACGAGCACCGTTCGCACTTGTAATGCCAAGCTACATGGCATGGAAAAGGTTGAACCTGAACACATTGCCTATGTGTTCATCCAGGTACGTGCTCTAATGGATTTCGATGACTATCTAACAAATGTTGTAGAGTCGATTTGGTATCACTGCACGTGACAAGTGGCAGGAAACTGATGGCTATTATAAGTACAACGAAGCATACACCCGCCTCATCAAATCACTCCTGAGAGGCACCTGATCAAACATGGGCAGAGTCGTTGCTTCAGTGGTGGAACAAGTTGAGTACTATTTCCCTTCTGACCTTAACATAGCGTGTTAACTTTTCAAGAGCGGTATTTGGTAACAAGAATGGCCTCGTCGTCGTCGATTTGAGGGAGGATGATGATGACGATGACCTCGTTGTGATGAAGAGACAGCATGAATTGCGTGTGGCTGCCATGCATCAGAATGTTTGAATTTACTATTCTACATCATTCTCAGTGATTAACTCGCTCTAATCTTCAGACGCAATTGCCTGAGAATACAACTGTGGCTCCAGCTATTGCTGAAGACCCTGCAACAGCACCCCCGACTTCTATACAACAATCCGAGGCTGCTGACTTACCGCCGGTTCTGCCCCATGCACCCCCACTGTCATCTGTGACGCATCATTCTGTTGACTCAGAAATGGAATCTGCAAAATGGATGTTTGAAGACTTCCAAGATGATGATCCTCTCACCAAAGATAAAACTGACGTGCCTGCACCATCAAAATGCGCCAGGAAGGCTCACAAGACTCCCATGGCCTCGAAGAAGATGCGCAAGGGCAGAAAGTGATCTACATTTTGTGGGTTCTTACTCTTCTGTATCTAGTGACTCGTCTAAACCAACAACTTAGTTTCGACATGATCGTGTGCTCCTCTTGTTGCATATTTCATTTTTTGTCACTGTATCACTCAACGTAGCGTCTCATATTCACCTGTCTTCCACATTACTCATTCATGTCACACTTGCTTGCAGTTTTCGTACTATCTTCAGTTCTACGTCCCTGGTTATGAGTCGTCTGTATATGTTCAGCTACTGTACAAGTAGAATGATATGTGCTTATATTGTACGACAGGTCTGATGAGGTGTCGGCAGGAACCAGCATATGGCCGATCATTCAGCAGCTGAGCATTCCTTGCTCATACAATATCTAGATGATGAAAGTTCAGCAGGACTTAGATGTAGCCAGCAGATGATGAGATATTTGGGAGATGACCGGTGGTTGAGAGTCAAGCAAGCTTCTGGGTCTTGCAATATCTAGTTTTGTCATGACTTAGATTCAGCCAGCAGATCATACAACATTGAGCATCAAACCAGTTTCTGGGTCTTACGATATCCAGATGAAGGAAGGTTATCATGACTTAGATACAATCAGCGTGTGGGGGGGAATTCAACAGGATGATAGCCAGTGAGCATTAAATTAGTTTCGAGAGCAGACAATATCCGGACAAATTTGAGCTGATGGTACATGGCCGGTCTGATGGACCTGTTCCCTGGTGTTGTAATATGATATGGCAAGCGCTTGCCATATCTAGATTTGGGACTTTTGATGATGGCCATGCTGAGTATGAGAGATACACGATCAGCATGACATCGACTATTTAGCCTTCCAAACATACGCAGTAGATAAGATTCTGAGGTAGCGCGCCTAGGATACTTTCAAGTCATTACAGCGTGATAATTACAACAAACAAGATACATACACCAAGATAGAGAAATGTCATCAGGGACCAACATCAGGAAATTCTCACATTACTTTATTTGTCCTTAAACAGACTTAATACACTTAAGTGTCTTGTTGAAAGGTGGATCTACTTGTCCAACATTTCAACTTGAATATATTCAGAAAGGAAATGTTGAGGTATATTGATATATATGTTTTATTATGCTTCACACTAGAGAAATATGAAATATGCCAGGTAAATAATGTGAGAGAGAGCAAACAAGTTTTGAGATAAGTAGGTTAAGCTGATGAAGGAGATTAAGGAATAAGGAATGTGAGAATTTCCTGATGAACGTTGCCTCTGTAATTGAGTATACTTTCATGTGCCAGTGTGTTCCCTTTAGTGATGTTCCAGCCCGGCTTGGGCTCAAAGCCCTGGCTTAGGCTCGGCCTGGGGGGGCTTAGGCTCACCAGATTTCAAGCCTGAGCCATGAGCCCAAGCCGGCCCAAAGCCGGGGCTTGGGCCCATGCAAGCTGCAGCCCACATGCTGAATTGCCTGAAATTGATGTCCAAGCTCCACCATGTTGTTCCCAACACCACGAACACCAGTGCAAACGCCCAGCACACGTCAGCAACTGCTAACATGGCTCAGACAAATACAGACGATGGACGAGAGCAGGAGAAGGCAGTGAGAAAGAGAAGGTGGACGATCGGCACTCGAGATGACTAGTGCTGAATACTGATGGATTATGTCGCGACCCAGATTAGTACATCTTGAAGGGGCTCAGTATTATTAGTTGGTAATGTATCACTTACCTGGTTTGTATCTTCAAGCACAGCATCCCAGTTATGTTTGTGTGCAAGAGCAATAGCACGGTGCCCATAGCAGACAAATTTTCCTTTCTTTCTTGTGTGAATATGATCTGTGGTATGGTCAAATCGCACGTGTCATAGTAAGAGTCAATAATGAGGACGTGCCAATTGCTGAACACACAATGGCAACTGCTTGTAGGGCGTGACCACTGACGTGACAATGTGTCATACCAAAGCCGCTGGCTTAGGCTTTTCTGAATCCAAGCCCAGGCCTAAGCCCTGCTCAGGCCGTGACTTAGGCCTGGGCTGGGCCCGGCTTGGGCCGGCCCAGGGCTTCAAGCCGGGCCTTGCACATCACTAGTTCCCTTGACACGAGACTGTACTCACCCAGACCAATTCAACCTATAAGAATATTGTTAGCGAGATGGCTGCTTCAGTCATAGCATCGACATACCTCTTGTCCAAATGTAAGGGCTGAAAATTCTTGTAAGATATCAGCAGTCCCTTAATATATATATCACGCTCACCCCAGTCATACACCACTCCAACAACGGCGGCAACTGGGAAAACGTAGCCAAGGTTAGATTGTGTCAGCTTTAATATTTGACTGCTCTCCACGAGCCTATAAAATAGCTAGAAAAACGATATGCATTAATGACCGGCCACCAAGAGGGATCATTTGAGACTATGGTCATATTGGGAGAGAATGTGTGAGTGAGAGGCAAATTTGGTTGATATATGCATATGACGATGGCATTCGTGCTAGTTATATCACCACCCAGTTCCTAGATCACCAACACAATACCGAGGGATGATGACCGTTCTTGTTTTAATTGACCGAAGTAGATATCCTGGCATGAAAACAAGGTGAATCAATCCAGAGATGTTGATCGTTGTACATTTCCACGAAAGAAACGCTTGAACACCGCAAAAGATTGACCAACATCAAGAACTGTCCGTGGTGTCGTCACCTAATTTCCAATATTAATGTTGTTATCGATATATTTTTGCTACACGCGCATTAGTCCATTAATGTAACTTTATTGCGTACTGATCATCTTGTGACCATCGAAAAGATTGACATCTTGACTCCCTTTGGCTCGCCAGCACAGCCCCGGGGAGCATAACACCTCATCTATGTAGGGTTAGTATGTACATTGCGTCGGCATGAAGCTGGACCAAGCGTCAAGAAATAGGGGAGAATCGCACGAACCATCACATCCTACCTTGGCTACTGATACCTCGTGGGCCATCTGTCGCTTCATCAGCTTTCCCTTGGAACTTGGGCTATCGTATCATTAGGATGCCGAAAATGGTGGACGCATGAGAGTTGATTTGCATAGTGGCAGTGAGGCACCGGGTTTCATCAGAGACATCCTTGTTGAGATTGAGGCCTGAGGGAGGGTAGCCTAGTACATAGGAATGTAGATGGGAATACTGTCTATATTTGGCGTGAATAAGCTACTACAACGACGCCACAGATAACTCACAACTCGGCCTACTGATCTCAGAATGCACAGCTTGTGTTCGGTGATGTACATGGTGAACTGTGGGCGCACCAGGATAAGAGATTATGTAACACAAATAGAGCACTCAAAGAAAAAAAACTCGGACACACCACAGGAAGCCCGATCATCATCATTTTGTAGTTGATGGCACACTGATGCTCGCATTGTTCCGAAATGAACATCACCAACGTCTCTGCCTTGCTTCCTTCCTCTGAGGCGAGCGTAGAGGCGTACTGTTGGCCTATGTAGGGCGACTGATGAAAATTGATGCACCACGCTATATTCAACAACGCATCCCGCAGATGCTTTGAATGGGTTGAGTAATTGAGTGACCAGGTCGGGACTCTGCGCTATTGAACTAATAAATGTTTCCTGTTGAGTCAACACACAGGAAGAAATTGTGTCTTCAAAATATTGCGGTAATGGCTATGTCTATTGGAATATGCCGAAATAAAACTGGGGACGAGAAAACTCGGTGGATGCCGGAGCAAGGTAAATAGTTGGCGATTACTAATTTTCGTTGCGTAGTACCTAATTGAGTCAAGGGGTTAAGCAAGTTCTCCCATAGATTCAATGCGATATTGAGCCGAGTATGGAGTGCAAGGCAGATGCTATGCTGCAAGCTCTCCTGCAGCGCTCTTCTTCCGCTCCTGAGACTGAACAGCCCGAGCTCTTCCAAAAGTGCCTCAAAGCAGTTCTGCCAGTTTGTAACGGAAAGGTTTCCACCCCGCTTGTGAACTCTTCTGATGTCAAGACAACCCTCAACAAATAGTAAGTGCTTGTTCTAAGTTCGCTGATCAGACATCTTCATGCTCACAACGATTGCAAGTGTACGTCCAGGAGTAGAAAATGACTCCTACGGCCCTTTCGTAAGAGCCACTAAATTAGCACTTGCTTGTCTTCAAGATATTGAGATTGACAGGATGTGTGCTCCCGTTCCCGCCGTGGACATGATCTGCCAGCAGAACGATATGCTCGTGCACCAAACCCACCAGACTACGACATCCATTCGGAAGCCCGACCTGGACATTCTTCTTCTGAGTAGTGCATGTGCTTCTTTTCAGGATGAGACGTACGGCAAGAAGGGCAAATATAAGGATAGTCAAAAGAACGACGAAAAGAATCAAGAAAAGAATGGCGAGAAGGATGACGAACGGCGCATAAAGCAACCCAAGGCTCATATGGACACGAATGCAACGGTAAAGGCGAAAAATCCTCCCTGGAAAGATGTCCTAGCTTGCATCAAGTTCAAGAGAAAGACGCCAGGGAGAATAAAAGGGATTAAGAAACCACCCTCTTCGTATGCAGTAACAGACTATGTCCCTACCGAGCCAGAATATTTACTGGTGGATCATCTTAAGGGAAGCTCCCAAGCAACACGAACTGCGTCCGGCACTGCATGTAAGTGATTTCAAGTTGATTCCGAGATCAAACTAAATCAGCCAGGCTGCAGTTCTATCTTCAGGCCTTCCTGCTGCCCAGCCTTCCAGGGTGGGTCTAGCTCCAAGCGCAAGGCCGCAGACACTCTGGAATCCGCCGCGAAAAAATTTAAGATGAACTTCGATGACGCGGTCGCGGACGCAGATCTAGATGTGACCGTCCAGACGGGTCTGTACGCTGCCGAAATGTTTGTGGTCAATCCTGGAATTAATTACTTCCTGAATGTCGTCGTCGTCGGTGAGGGGTTCGTTCATCTGTCGAGATGGGTCGTGCTCTTATCACAGCTTTTTCAGACGATGTAATGTGGATCTGGTATTATGATCGTCAAGGGATAATTCAATGCTCAGGTATCAACTTTATTCAAGATCTCCCACGATTCATGATGCTATTGTATGCTTTACAACGCTTCAAGCTTCACGATTTGGGTCGAAACAAGGACTTCTGCCCAGTTCAAATTGAGGGGAGGGGATGCCACGAATTCAAAATCAAGGATGAAGATCTTGGAACGGTGGATCTGTTGCGTCACACCAGCCACGATGAAAGAGTGACGCCCTACATGCTGCAAGGACAGGCCACTAATGTGGTCCTTGTCACTGATGAAGCGCTCATGAAGAAATATAGGTGACTTCCAGGATGAGATGGTGACCAAGAGCTTTTGGGGAGAGGCAAGTAGCACCAGCGAGCCAGGGATCCTGAAAAGGTTTGAGGAGATCGCTAAGAGGCACGCAAATGTCCAAGACCATATGCCGAAGCTCTTTTGGCACCACACGTTTACAAATCCCACGTCCACCATTCGAGAAGCGCTAGGTGTTCCGGAACCTACTAGGGGCAGCCGCGTGCTCTACATTCTTGTATTCCGCAAGCTCCTACCCATCGCACGGCTTGATGATAAAGAGCTTTTTGACGTATGGCGTCAGTGTATCTGTAAAGCTGATAGTGAGTCCGACGAGGATTGTCGTACTTAAATGAGAGTAGAAGAGATCGTGCTTTTTAAATGATAGAGTTTCGACGAGACGGATTGTGCTTAGAACGAGAGGACTTTGCTGACGGACTGAGTGCGTGAATCTAGCGGGAGGGCAAAAGACTGACTCTTGTCAATGTACATGGCGTATTTTAAGTTGTAAGGTAAAAAGGGTCCTTGACGTTACGGAAAACGAGAGTTATGTGAAACGGAGAATGGTGGCGCTGAGCCTGCCAGGGTAGAGTAGCGGGAATGAGTGAGAGTACGACAGTTTTTGAATGGAGGTGGTATTAGGTAGCTCGCCGTGCACAGGAATGACGAGAATCGTTGGGTATCTGACTGCTTTTGGGCGAAGGAATGAAACTAAAAGGGAGTGACGAGAAATAGTTTGGTGATAATTCCAGGGTATAGTATGAATGAGGGTAAAAAAAAGAGTGAGCTGGTCGTTGAGAGTAACGAGAGAGTAAGGGTTAAGGAAAAAGGAATGTGTCCGCATAACTCGGATGCGAAGCATGCGCTTCTTCGCATCCATGAGTCACGTGGATGGTTCTGGACTTGCGTCCTTGAACCTTGATTTGAAGATGTGGTCGGGGTGTAGAGGATGTGCGATCCTTACATATCTTATGTACGTGTTTCATTGAATTTACGTGGCTGTTTGTTGATATAGCACACAGGTCACCTCACGCTGTGGAAGGAAGGAGTCCATCATCGAGATGTCAGTCCTGGAAACCTGGTGTGGTACTGGAAATGCGGGAGGCGGATAGGCATTATGAACGACTACGATCTGTCCTCGTTGGCGGATGACCCAGGTCCTCAGAGAAATAAACGCATGAGCACAGTACCCTTCATGGCGCTCGACCTCTTCACCGAAGAATGTCAACAGGGCAAAGTGAAACACCTATATCGCCACGATCTAGAGTCGTTCATGTGGTGTTTCGTGTGGACTTCCTTTCGTTACGAGAACGGAGTCCTTCTACCACGGAACTTGCGCTGCTTCGGTGAATGGGGAGCTTTAGACGCTATGTCATGTGCCAGGAGGAAGTACTCTCTTCAAGGACATAGAAACCCCCCTCCACGCTTGCCCACAGATCCACTTGTGTGGCGTTTCATTGTAGCGTGTTTGAAGGTGCTTGACGCGGAAGCCTACAACCGACGTGCACGACAACCCGATTTACCAACAGAGGTAGACAAGCGAACGAACACCGAGGAATCAGTATCAGATATGGATTATTTTCTAGCCAAATTCACAGCTACTCCGGCTTGGGCTGCGCTCAGCAGCCCTATACCTTCACAATGATTTTACACTACATACTATTTTCTGTGTTTTGATACCTGGTACAACATCGAGTTTCTTGTTTCTATCATTTGTCATGATCCACCATACAAACCTGTGGAAAGCACTACTGAGGAGAACGTTCAGCCTTGGCTTGCTCGATCATCTATAACATAAGTTTGACTCAACGGAGCCCAAGTCGACCTCGTAACAAACATTTCATTGTAATTATAACCACAGCAATTTTGAAACGCAGCGCCCGAGTGCAGTGCCGAAAGCCAAGTCATCTTAAAGTAGTCCCAAACAACTCGGCAACAATCCAGGTCCACTTGCCGCGAACCCACTGCCATCTCCTATGACAGCATTATACAAGCCATATGTTCCCAGGACGACTGCTGCTGCCTCAACTCCAGTAACAGAATTCGACATCTTGAAGGCCTCCCACAAGTAAGAAGCGCCCAAATCTCCAAGTCTACCTTTTTCACACCTTTCTTGAAGGTTCCTACGAGATGACGAGGCCAGTACATCATGGAACGACCAGCTAGCGCAGAAATACTACGACAGTCTCTACCGCGAATTCGCGATTTGCGATCTCAAGCATTACAAGTCAGGAAACGTATGCCTCTCGCCTCTCTCTACTACACATGATTTGGTGGGCTGATCATCGATCGTCTAGTTCAGTCTCCGCTGGCGCACAGAAACAGAAGTTCTCTCTGGAACGGGCGAGACGACATGCGCGAACGCTCGCTGTCCCGAACACACCGCATCTTCGACTTCACTTATGACTCTCGAGCTACCGTTTACATATGAAGAGCACGGTCATAGGAAAGAAGCGCTCGTGAAAGTCGTTCTATGTTCGAAATGCGTGCGCAAGATCATGTGGAAGAGGAAACACGAGAAGGAAAGGGAAGGCGAGGGTGTGGAGGCTAAGACGGCCGAAAGTGATGAAGTTAAGATGCATGAGGATAGAAGAGCACCAAAGTCTGGAAGCCGTCCAAAGGACAACGAGCGTAATGACATCGGTGATGAGCAGTATCGCACCCGACGAAGACGAAGCTCACGTTCGCGGTCTCCGCGAGCTCACAAACGGAATCGGGACGCCTCACCAACCCTATCACAAACGAGGAACAGCGGTAGCTAACCCTAGTCTTACTTACTACATACCAAGGTTTCAGAAGCCTAGTGCTTCTCAAGATGTACATAAGATTGCGTTGTGTAGCATGCAGGTGCACTCAAATGTGTACGTCTTCACCCCTACTTGAGCTAGTTTGGCTGATTCACTACGAAGTCTTCCTCGCATACTTTTCTCAGGTCCAATGGAACTTGAGCTGTCACGTTGTCCCCGGCGGGTGGACGTACTACCGGAACTTGTAGCCCGTTCATCTTCCAGTAGATCTCCTTGACGTGTCCATTTCTATCTGTCGATGCAGGCAGCGCGAAATGTATGCGTGGGATGAGGGTCGTGAGGACTTGTTCTGTAATAACTTAGTTCATCTCTGTATGCGGAAATGACAAAAAAGCGCACTAATTTCCATCTCTGCAAACTTAAAGCCGCTACATCAATGACATCAATGGCTATGCGTGCATTACAAAATGATACATTACGCACATGCATGCACGGCTGCCTCCGAGGAATGTCATCCTGCGTTGACCACGGCTTTCAGTTCTTCTATAACGCTACACATTTTCTGTCACTTACATCAGACCATACACGCCAGGATATTTGATGCCATTCTTGACCCCCAGACTTACACCGCTCGTGGCATTACCTTCACCATCTCCAAGGTGAATGCGTTCGCCAGAAGGTGACAACCACCGTTCGGGACGCCATTCCGAGGCATCCTCGCCCCAGATCTCCTTGTTGTGATTCGACGCCAGGATAGAAATTATAAGCGTCGTATTTTCTGGCACGTGGATTGAAGAAATCATTTCGCCAGATGCAGACTTGATCGGCTTGTGTAATGGAAGAACGGAAGCCTGACGAGCACTAAAATGCAGCCGAAGAAAATGTTTGGTGAGTGTTTCAGGCGATGTGGCAAGATACTCTTACGTTCGGCTGAGAAGAGAAGTCGGTGGATACACTCGAAGTGTTTCACGAACTATGGCATCCAGATAAGGCAGCCCCATAAGCGTGTCATAGGGTAATTCTACGTCTTCCCATGGGACGGACAAGTCCTGCGCATCCGCATAGTCTCGTTTAGCCTTGCGGATTGCGCTTCGTAGTCGTGCCTGAACGTCCTGCTTTTCGGCCAGGATACAAAAAATGCGGCATATGGCAGTAGCAGTGGTTTCGAAGCCCGCAAAGACGATCGTGCTAAAAGAGTACTGAGTTTATGATTCACGCTGGCAGAGTATGTAAATAACGCCCACTTCATTTGGCCCAGCAATTCCGAGTCTGTCAATCGATCGTCATTGGAAGAAGACGCGTTGGCTTGCACTGGCAGTAGCCATTTCATTAGTAGAAAGTTTACGTGTGTGGAAAGAGGGTGACTGACGCATGATACTCATCATATCTTTACCTTGCATGCGATTCCCCGCGATTCCGACGAAGCCTTCATTCTCTAAGGCTGCTCTCTTCTCGGTGAAAATCTTCTTGCTGGTGGTGTCCATTACGTTTACCACATGACGAAGGTTTCTCAATGCGTCACCCGGCACCCAATCCATCATCTTATTCCTCCAATACAAGGAAAATCGTCGCACAATCATTGGGATAAACGGGCGGAGGAAGATCAAGCGAAGTGTAGATGGTCTGTCAGGATTCATTTCAGGAGTGTTCGCGGGAACAAGCAAATCACGCACGCAAGTTTCCTGATGGCTTCCAAGTATTGATTTTCTTTTTTCGTGTCAAGTGCATCAAACGAGTGTCCGAGCGCTGCTTGACATATGTATTCTAGTGCACCTCTCGACAACCACGGAAGTAAGTTCACCTCCACGACCGCTGCAAATAAATAGGTCAACAGACGATATTCGAACAAAATCTACGCAACTTACATCCATCGGCTGGGATCTGTGCACTTAAGATTGTACGTAGTTGATCAGCGATAGGCTGAATTACGGGAAGCAGATCACGCATATTTGCGAGAGAAAATACTGGATTTAGCATCTTGCGCTGCTTCCTGTGTTGTTCGCCTTTCAAGTAGGATGATATACACAAGCTTCGCTTAGTAAGTCTTCTGTATACTCACCGAGAGTGGCTAAAAGTCCTTCGCCAAAGATGAGTCGATTGCCCCTATTAGGTGGGATTATCAGCTTATACGATGTATGCACTTGTGAAACTCACATGATGAACATATCGGTCTCCTCGTAGACATTTTGCTCTTTCACGATAATGTGATGCAAAGCAAGTGGATCTGATATGTACAGCTGCTCTTGCTAGATAATTTGGGGTAAAGTGGACGTAAGACATCCAAAATGAGGGGCCTTACCCCAAGAAGGGCGTGAACCTTGACCGCCCCGCCGTATTTCTGGACCAAATCAAGGTTATACCGGAAACCATCTTGGAATATACGGTGATAATTGCCTGACACGTATTAAGATTAACGCGTGATATCGCCATAGAAGCTTGACTACCTTTCAGCCAGTGCTCTTTCTTTGGTCCGAGGATGAGAGCGAGAGGAGATTGTAGAGCACGAAGATGTTTAATGAGCCTCCATATAATGAAAGCGAAGATGCTCGACCCGCAGACTCTCAGAAGAGCCATGAGAGGACGAAGGAGGATTAAGGCCATCCACCAAAAAAGGCTCATCAATGGCCATCAAATGCTGATGACAACAATGTGAGAAGAGGATTGGCGCCTCCTCAAGCTGGCCGCGATTTGACCGATATGAACTCGCCCGCGACTCACAGTGACTTTCCAAGATGTGGTTCAGAGGTCACTGATTTTTTTTTCTACGACTAGAGGTTCAGTAGTACGCTAGGACAAAGCCGCGGAGTTTGAATTGATGCGTGAACCTCGCAACTTCCTAACCTCATTTATAGATGCGTCCACGCGGGCAGCCGTATCTCACGAGGTTCTCGGTTTGATCATCAGAATGAGAAAACAAATCATTCTGTCCGTGCCCGCAGGCGACTGCGCGCTCCCTTCGTTGACCACAGCCAGCATCATCATACCAACATTATACCTGTCCACCGTTATTAGGGCTGTTCTATCCAATGTTAAGCTCTGATATAGCAGCTTTGATTGGCTTTGGTTGTGAGGCGGTCTTGTATGGTAAGATCTCCACAGGTTTCAACGTCTTTTTCAGTGAACACTCACTGGCAAGCGCTCACGTACAGGCAGTTACTGCATTCTTTTCATCGTCTCATGGATAGTCTTGGGTCATAAACGACCTTCCCCAAAACTTAGTAGCCCTGTCATTTTTGCCAACTGTTTGCTCTTTTTCTGCTGCACTGCACATTTTGCTCTCGAATTCAATCATTTTTATAAAACTCTTGTGGGTTTCCCTATCAAATCGTTAGAAAATACATGTATCCTCATACCAATTTTCTCGATAGGAGTCAACTGGAGTCGATGGTTATTCCGCGGAGACACCTGGTCTTATGGGCGCAGATTTCCTTATCTCATTCACAGATCTTGTCGGTGACTTGGTTCTCGTCTACCGCTGCTGGATGCTTTGGGACAGGAACTACTTTGTAGTCATACTTCCCCTTCTTACTGCCTTCGGTGGCTTCGGTACGTCGTCCCACTTCGAGTAATCAACCAGTCAGTGACCAATTCTAATAGCTTGCATAATGGAGGTACTTCACCTCGTCATCCTCATGGACCCCACCGCGCCTGCCCCTCCTCTAGCTACAGTGGGCCTGGGGCTCGCAGGTTATATCCTGCCTCTTGCCACCAATTTCGTCGTCACCTTCCTTATAGTTTACCGCATCCGGATCTCCTCCAATGTTGTAAAAGAATCACCTATAGTCATCGGCCAAGGCGCTTCCCATCGTGCGATGATGCTCATCATCGAGAGTGGTGCCCTCTATCTTATAACACAATTCGTGTTCGTCATACTCTTCTCGATCCAGCACCCCGCACAAGGCATCGTGGCGGTGATTGCCACCCAAGTATACGTGAGTACCAAACCTGTGCTTCTATAATTTCCGCTCATCGCTTACTTACACATCCATGATAGGGCATTGCACCTACCCTGATTATTATTCGGGTAGGCTTGGGAATTTCATCTGAGAATACCACCAAGGCAATAACGTCCACTCGTATTGAATGGATCGCGCGCCGTGGGGACGATACGGGCACTTCGGGTACCCAATTCACTGTCGAACACAGCATGGCCGAATCCGATATGGATATTCGGATGAAAGACTTCGATCTCAACCGGAAGGGACACGACGAGATTGAGATTGCAGAGGTCGAGATGGCGCCTGCCAGTAATTACGAGAGTGCTTCGCCTGTATAAACACCTTGGCATATGTACCAAAGGTATGTTGAAACTTGTTGTAGTGGTGTAGTGGTGTATTTGGACATACACACACCGGAAATTAATTACGACATATCTTTTGACGTATCTTATCTAGTAGAAATATCAATTTGGCATTACAAGAGTATCGTACATACGACGGTGACCCACCCCCCTTATTCGAACGGTATGCTTGGGTGTTCTAGCATGTACTGCCGCAGCACCGTCCAATCCCTACACCTGTGAACCGAACCCACCCCATTCGCAGTGTGATACAACTTCCCATCGTCCGGGGATATCTGGGGAATATCCACTTCTAGCGTGGTATCGGCATGACACAGCAGCGCCTGCCGTAAATATCGCAAGCAGTGCTGGATATGCTCTGCAGCATGCGTGCGATTCACCACATAGCCAACGCGGATGATATCCAGGCAGTGGAATTGATGGTAGAGGGAGACTAGGAATGTGCGGTTATTTGGGCCTAGAGCGACAAACCCGTCTGAGGGGAAAAGGGTGCCCCAGTCATCATCATCGTATAATGAAAAGTGACCTTCGCCGCTCTCGAGTTCGAGACCGACGGATGGGAGCTCCACTGGCAGCTGGGAGGGGTGGTCATCGCCCACATACGCTGTGAACGAGATGGTCAGGTCAAATTCACGCTTTAAATGGCAAAAGCACGCAGTTGACATACTGTGAACGTGAGGGGCCGTGGGGATGAGCTCACTGAGAACAGAAACAGTGTGTAATGTAAACATCACATTGACTATCGTGACCAGCACAAGAACGGAAATGCAAGCGGAGACAACATTAGAGGGGTCCCGCAAAGACCACCTCGATGCTGGAGAAGTACTATGGGGAAGACGTCCGAGTCGCAAGTAGGACATTATGACTTTAGATGGTAGAGATAGTTCATATGTATAACGGGCTTCTTTGAACTGACTCGGATACACATATAGCCGCATCGTGCGGTGCCGAGAACGAACTGCTGTACATTCATTGCTATATCTGACGAGCGTTATCGTGAATTCCCAGACGAGATTGATCCGGCCAAGACCTTGGATAGTGAAGAGCAGTGCCATAACGATACTATGCACGAGAGTTGTCAACGTCAAAGTTACAGGATAAACGTTCACCAGATAAAGTATTCCAAGTTAAGATCAATGCAGTAATCCTCTGCGGCGCGGGTGCTGTGACATGCTGTGCAACGCACCGTTTAGTTAAACCAGCGGTAATCAATCATGGTGACTCCCGGGAAGGCACGATGCCAGTATATCGGCCCACCCCTTGTAAGGTTTTGGAATAAAAATACGACACATACCGACTTCTCAGCCGCATAAATACCCCGTCCATCTATCCAGTCCTAAAACTGTCACTTGGCGAGCACTAGGTAAGCTCAAGAGATAAAACACATATCTGGTGACTGATGCGCAATTGTTGCAGAAGTGGGATCGCAACATTTAACCAAATGAGCAACAAAGAATATACACCGCTCGCACAAAGAACCGAAGAAGAGGAGCAAAGTGATGTATCGTTTGAAGCGGATGGAGAGTGCACCCAAAGCACAAAACGTTTCACCTCGCCGTGGTACATCGGTATCGCCTTGGTTGCAATCCTTGCGATCAACGGCCTTTGTCTGATGATCATGATCAACCGGCTTCGAGCTGCATCTATGGCACTGAAGCCAGTGCTCGACTTCACGGATACTCGATATCTGCCTCGTCCTGATCCATACGATGGGCTATGAGCAGTTCTAATAATACACGAGTCTAGATGTGGCACGGAGAAGTAGACTCACACAGAGCCGCCTTTGGAAGTGGCATGAATGCTAAAGAACCTATTTAGTGCACAATAAGATAATATGTATTAGCCGGTGATTGGTTCGATTGCCTGTAGTATGGAACCTTACAATATGAAAGGTAACGAGGCTTGTCAGACATGATGCTTGCGATAGCATGAGGGGCTACCCCATAGCATCTGCCAAAGCACTTGAACTCCCGATACATCGAGCGCACTTCCTGCGCGCTGGCACCGCTTCGTCGTCGAAGCGTAGCTAATATGGAGCTCAGCGCAGATTTACGAAGACCCTCAGAAGAAGTCCTCGATGGCAACCGAGCATAATTTCTCAAGACTCCAATGGCTCCACGTCCACGAGTCATAAGTTCTGCTATAAGATCAGCTTGGTTGTAGAAGAAGTTTTCATCAAGATCGTAGGCCATACCTCTCGCAACCGTCATCATGATGTACTCCGGCATTCTCTCTTTGATCTGCACGGTATGGGTACTTCTTGTTCCGTGTGCTGCCCGTGTTATCGTTAGAGACACAGGTTAGTGCTGTGTTCTGGCTCAGATGAATATCAATAACCTGTATAATGAATCTGCCCCCGATATAGAAGGTGAAGATCTCTGGTTATCTCTTGCAGCCGCATGTGAACGTTGCGACAGTGGTGCCAAGAGCGCTATGGTGCCAATTGTCCACGACAAGGCCATTCCAAATGAAGGCAAACAATTATTCCTAGTTGCTCACTGCTTGAACTTACCAACTCACAGTTCGAGTTGTTCTATATGCGGCGGAAACTCAATCGACGTCAATCGATATCGCCTTGCGGCAACTAAATGACCATGAGAAAACATCGCCCGACCGAGGTGAACATGCTCACCCAACTTGTCCTTAAGGCGAACTACTATTTCTGCTTCACCACAGCTCGTGCGATAGATCATAGGGCAAACAAACCACGACAGATATTGGGTGGAAATCTTCGGCAACCTACCATTCATGAAGGCGTAGCTTCTTGGCAACGTAAGCCAGTGTAGTTGGTTTGTTGATCAGCGCTCACCAAGACACTTGTAGCGGCTATTAAAAGCGATGAAAGTCCTGTTGGAGGGTTTTTATTTGAGGACGCCGTTCATGACAAGATCGTCGATTCTTGACGCAGTGGTGATTGAGCACGAGTCTCGCATGCACTACACGATAAAGAATAAAAGAAGCATTCATTCGAGGAGGGCACTGGATCGAGGGAGGGATCGAAAGGCATTATTTAAACATTCCCACACCTGGTTTTCGTAGAAAAATTGTTAAATGGGGATAGCATTGAACTAGCAAGATTCAGACACTCACACTTCTATCCACACCACCAAAAGTACGAACCGTCTCTGCCAATACGGGAATAAATTAAGTACACAAGACTAGCGGGCTGAAGTATAGTCAGCCTGTAAGAAAATTGACAATGACAACGACATTCATCATGATCCCCGCCACCCTCGACCGCCGATATATATTTCTAGTGCACAAGGTCCGAGTCTACCTTTGTCTGTACAGGGGAAACGACCTGAATATGAACCGTGTCAGTCCGCAACTACGGTTTGGTTTCGTCAAACCATATTTAAATCGATCATTAAGGACACCTACCCATGTTAAGGTAAGTCGATCGTGCTCCAAGAATAACCTGACAAAGCGGTTGGGAAAAAATCGAGTACGACAGACGGTGGCAATGTAAGGACGATTTGAAATGATGGATCCATGTGGGTAATCAGAAGACTTGCAAATAAGGCAGGTCGGTGAGTCGGGGTCATAGATATTTTCTGCGCGAGCGATGGCTCGCTGATTGAAGTCTAAGATGTGCACGTAGAAACAATCCTGGGTGCAGAGTCCTTCCGGCTTTTTTCCGATTTTAGGAGTGATATCCCAAGGGAGAGCATAGGCCATTTTGCTGCCAAACACACTGATTTGGCAGCTTGAATGATGCTGAAAGCAGCACGTATACTGGGGTCCCCACTCCGACCAGGGAATTTCGACAGGCGTGTCTGAGTGCAAGGCCTTTTCTGAGAAGATAACCATATCGATAACTAGAACAACAGGGCGTGCGTTTGTGATAGTCTCTAAAACAACGATTTGCGATTCCAGAGAGGGAACGTAGTCGGGCTCCAGGTCTGGACAAGCTGTTGCAGCATGGAACGATGGGGTGCCATGAAATAGGTAGAACGACGCAAGCAGGGATTCTTGAAGACGATACATTACTCGGCGCTGAGGTGGGCCATTTTCTTGTAGTGTATATAAAGTTATGATGCCCTGGGTGTCGATGACAACAAACTTCTGTTCATCAACTAGATGGAAACCCGCAAAATCTTCACATAAAGGATACTACTTATGCTGAGCGGCAGGGTTTCAAGAGTAGAGTGAACTTACACTCTTGGTATATCCTTTCCTCCAATCTATCACTTGTATGAACACGTTGTGCCCCACCATTTCCAGTGGGTTTAATCGTTCCATATGATAGAAGACAACTATATGATCCCCACAAACTGTAGGCTCTTGCGTTAAAATGACACGGTGATGGCTAGATTCCTCAGAATGTTGGCACTTCAACAAAGCTTCCACGGAATCTGGATGTGGAAGCAGGGATGAAGCCGACCGAAATTCCACCGAAAAGATATGGCGACCTTGCTCGGCACCAGTCACGGTGTATATATCAGGAAATAAAATTACAACCACAAGATCCTGAATAGGGTCGAGGACAACCGATCTCACCGATCCCGACATCCGACCCTGGAAGAACTGCTCGTATCTGGAGAACGAATGAGAGAGTTTGATATTTGTGTTGCAGTCCCGAATGTAGAAATTGTCGTTGTCCCACATCCACCAAATCCCGCATTTCATGTGTTGTATTCCTGAATGTAGGTTCATGATAGGTACTGCATCTTCGAAGACAGAACTGGCGTGGAACACAGATGGCCAGAAGGTTACCCATCTCTTGAGTGAGGACATCCTGCTGTCAACATCGATCGAGTTCAGAGTTCTTGTCTCGGTGAAGCCCTGAGCATGAAGTTCAAGCTTGTATTGGATGTGGATAGAATTCTGAGCTGCATTCCGTACGATTTTACATGTCTAGCATTAAACGGAAGTTAGCATAGGATGATAATCACGGAAAGAGCAAACCATTGCACAGCGACAAAGGTCCCTGGGAGTCAGCAAGGATAGAATATGACATATCAGCTCTGTCGGAAGTGACAAGAATTCAATTGCAACCGTTGTCGCCATGTTGTCGATACAGCTCATGAGTCATGCCACGGCCAGCTAACGTGCCGCCAGGTTTTCGAAGTCCGTCAAGACTCCGCTTGACTCATCATCAACACCAAAATTAGCAAGTACAAAGTTTCATCAGATGCTGACTCTGAGTTTGAGCCAAGATTGAGTCAACTCATCATTAATCATTCTCCACGATGCACTGTTGAGCGCTTGAGCGCTGAGCACTTGTGCCCAATATTAAAACTACGGCTTCTTTAATCCTTCCGTTCTTGGACTTCACAATCATCGCAACAACCGACTAGCAAACCCAGATCATAGATATCAACACTGGTTTCGTGCTCATGGTGAGCTGGACACAGCCTGGCCAGGATGCTGGCAGTGTACGTCACCTCAAAGTCTTGACCAACACTCTCTCGTGGCGGGTCCCAGTCAGATGGCATCATTATTGATGTTGCCCTCTCTTCACACCGCTCGGTCAGTTAGCTCCTTTCGCCACCTGAGGCCGGTATGTCAGGACACCGATGAACGCAGTTTCTGCACCCGCTAGGGCCTCTTCGCCCGCGCATGGCCTATCATCCCTTGACAACCGCGATCGAGGTGTTTCATTACGCCCTGGTCAGAGCACTGGGTCTTTTCGCCGATGAGTCCTGAGTGCTATTTCTGTCATTCAGTTCCGTGCGATATCGCGAAATTAATTCTGTAAAAGAAAAGCCGTGCCTAAAGCTGTCATATCACCTCGTTATATGAAACGATGTCATTAACGTTTCTCAGAACAGATATAGCTCGCAACTCACTGCCTACCGCATTCACAAAAATTGATCATCGCTTCGGCATGAACAGTGCTTTTACCGTAGAATCGACCCGATATGACTCGTACTGGTTGTCAACGGGTATCTAGCACTGCGTGCACTTGCCAAGCGAATTCATTCATATAAATGGTTTGAAGACTTCAGGCATTTAGATCTCCATAGTTCCTCAACCTCAACTTCATCCACACAAACACATACCTTTGACCTAATTTCATCATTATTATGTTGACTTCTTTTACTCGCTTCACGGTCGCTCTTGCTCTTACATTCTCTGTTTTCGGTGCTGCTATTCCAGTGGCCACTGACACCACCACTGCTTCTTCTTCTCGGACTACCCCTGTTGGTGCTCTGTGGAAGAACAACGTTCATGAGAGGCTCTCTGAACCACCTTCCCAGCGGTCCGGTGAGCTCTGGGAAGGGATTGAGCATGAGAATGTAGCACGGGACGGATTGGCACCCGCTCGCAGATCTGGCGAGCTCTGGCGTGGTCTAGAACACGAAGAAGTAGCACGAGACGGATTGATACCATCTCGCAGATCTGGCGAGCTCTGGCGTGGTCTAGAACACGAAGAGATAGCACGAGACGGAGTGGTACCAGCTCGCAGATCTGGCGAGCTCTGGCGTGGACTAGAACACGAAGAGATAGCACGAGACGGATTGGCACCGGCTCGCAGATCTGGCGAGCTCTGGCGCGGGCTTGAACACGTGGAGGTTTCCCCTTCCACTGATGCCTAAGGTCAGTTCCTGTATGTGTTTCGAATCTGGCTTTGGTCCTGATGTACCACATCCAGTCATATTGCGTTATCCAGACATCGGTACTTTATCAGGCATGAGCGAGGATCCCCGCGCTCGGGCTGTGTACGCGGGCATGCACAGCATAGTCGGGCAATTCCATGCGGACCTTTCTTGGCCATAATTTTACATGCTTTCCTATACCTGTTTTTGGCTGATTGCCACCTTATAGCCATACATACTGTATCTATCTTGCAGCAGCCCACAGCAAACGCTGAGGGTGTACTCCATACTCCACTACTTTATTGCTTCGATGGTTACTTACTTTATACCAATAAGTTATTCGGGACGTTGCATACTCCGCTATTACTTTATTGCTTCGATGATTACTCACTTTATACCGACAAATATGTACCTGTAATAGGGGTTGAAATTTATACCCGCTATATATCATATAACAAGAATGAATGAATTGGATAAACGGTGGATCAATATCGATTTCGAAAACATAAATTGGAGGGAGGTTTAACCAAGGTTAAACGGTATTGGCAGAGCGCTGCGGATGAATTATGGACCGTTCCCCTATAATTAATTACACCAGATGAGTCCAAGGTCTGGTACGTAAAGTGGTCCGCGTACTAGTGATAATTTGTAGTCGTGGTGCTGCTATTTGAGTCCGACGGGAAATGATTCGGACCATGAGAGAATGAATGAGGGGGGAGTTAATTCACTGAAGCTACAGCGAGTAATGACCGGCTTTTAGATCTAAGTGGGTACGAAGAGAAAGCCATAAGTAGTACTTCGAACCGGTACAAAGGGAATTCCATAGCCAGTGTCTGTGGCTAGCGGTGTGACAGGTGAAAGTACTCACGGATGTCATAACAGTACAGCGTCTATGGATATGGCGAAATCCCTCAATACCACTAATCAATTGATCAGTTGCCTTCCAGCAATACTGTTCTACCCCATAAAAAAAAAGGAAAGAACATAGAGCCAGCTGCAGGTTCATGTATCATAGATATATGAGAAAAACGTGTATTTTGCATGGAATACATGCAACATAGTTTCCAAACTGGCGGCGGAGATGGGCATCCCAAGACCTCAAACGGCTCACAGAAACATGGTACAAGATTTGATTCCAAATTACAGTCGGCCCAGGTATAAGGCTCGTCACGTCTAGTGAAATGATAGGCAGAACTTCGAGCATCTGCCATAAATCGCCAATAAAAAAAAGGAAAGAAAACGCAGCTCCGTGCGTGGAAGGATGTGTCTAAGATAAATATATTCGTATGATCACCAGGATAAACGTAAATTTGAAAAATTCAGCCAGCGGGGTATCACCCGTCGTCAACGGATTGGTATCAGGGCCGTTTTATAGAGCTAATGCAAAAAGTGCTAAAAGTCCAGAACCAACGGAGGTCAAAGCGCTGAGAGGGCGGATGGACAAGGCGCCGCCGGTGGGAGCAAGACCCGCATTAGCAGCGCCAGCGGGAGAGTATGGAGTCGTCGTGGATTTGGAAGCTGCGGCAGGAGTTGTGAGACTGTCAACGCAGATGTCAGCTTAACGCATGGCAATTGTCGACATAAAATCTTACGCAGTGCTAGATGAAGAAACGCCAGGTGCATTAGGAGGTGGGATGGTGCTGGTCAGGCACGACGAGTCACTGCTAGGAGCCACATTCATCTGGCATCCGTGTTAAATAAAATCCCTCATTAAACAAAGGAATATAATTCGCTCACGGTTCCACTCCAAGCTTCATTTCCTTCGGAATCTTCGATGAAAAGAACGACTGCAGTGCCAGCAGGAAGAGCGACTTTCCATTGGTATGAAAGACCGCTCTGCTGACCAAAATCAACACTGCATACCAAGAACGTGAGATCGCATGAGCCAAAGGAAGTTCAAAAAACGTACAGAGCCTCGCCACAGAGGTCATCTGCGGGAGCTACAAGAAGGCTGTAGGGAGGACTTGATGCTGTCCAAGTAATTTGAACATTTCCACACTAATTTCAAGTTGGCGCGGGCAAGTCAGCACCTAAGAGGTCATGTATAGCTAGAGGAATTACCTGAGTGGGGCTTGGGGTGTCAATCGTAAAATCAGCAAATACGCCTTGAATGGCAAGTGCGACAAAGAGAGTGACTGAAAAGAGTGTAGCGAACATGTTGTATCGTTTGCAAGGAGGGTCGGGGTGTTGTCGGGGTATATGCGGAAGGGAAGGCCGGTGGAAGTAGGAGGAGAGGAAGATGGAGGGTTCCGGCATGCCGCCTCAAGCATACCATCAATGACATTTAGAACCCCGCTGCATTCACCACTTTGTTATTGTTCATCTACACATTACAATGGGCAAGTGTTATTACAAAATCTGGTCAAGCTAAGCTGGATCAAGCGAAGACTCTACAAGGACGGCGGTGTTCTAAGGCTGACCTCGGACTCTGGATTCTTCAATGAAGACAAATGAACAAAAATCTAGACCTCACTCTCGTTTGGATCAGTTCAGACTTTTCTCTAGATTTACATGGGAGGGTTTTCGTGATACGTTCTTGAACTATATGAATGTTTTACAGGTCACGGTGTAACAAGTTCTGACCGAACTTGAAGAGTATCAACTTGAAATGCAGTCACCATGGTCTTTGTGTCGCTGCCAGACGGTCCAGTACTAGTCATTTCATGTTTGGTGTCAGACCAAGTCGTGTTTCAGCCCGGGCCCTCAGTACGTACTCAGTGAGTTCGATTTTGCCTAACAATCAATATTCTATTGATTTGATTTCCTTATTTAGCATGCAACAATCCCGCCGTTCGGCGACGACTGTGTCAGAGACTCAGAGTGAACCCCAATCAAAGGTACTGGGAGCCCGTTCTGTATTCTCCTCATGTGGCTCAGACTGAGGCAAGCTTGTCGTGGACATCAAGCATGCTGTTAGGCCCGGAAACCGCCTCATTTTCGCCCTTGACAATCCTCAGACTGGGATGACATTGAGAATATGACTGACCAAAATTAACAGATGTTTCACAAGAAACAACCCTTTGTAAGGGCCCTTCTAGAAGCCTTCGCTACCACGAAAGCACCCAGGCAAAGACACTTAGCGTTCAAGTTGTATTTGCCCAGTCCGACTACTGATTTTCACGCCGCAGGTTTGTATGCACACGCTGTCTTCTCTAGCATGCTGTCATTCTACTCATTCCCAGGCCCTGCCACAACCAATTTGCATTATTTGTTCCGTATGATCTTTTCGTGTACAACATCACGGCGTTAGGGAGTGCCAATTATAGAGCGCTTCAGCTGCTTTTTGTTCGAGAAGCACGCTTGTTCGGTCAACGTTTGACATAAAGAGGTGTCCCTGTGATCGACAACGTCCAGAATCAACAAGGCAGCGCGATTGGTCGTTCAGACATCATGAATGTTGGTCTTGCCAGTGCCTACATCGAACTGGAGGATATTGATGTTCTCATATTTGAGATGTCCGCAACGAGCCGTCTCTTGAACAAGACTTCTGAAGTGGAAGACTTGCAGGATGGTATAATGTTCACGTTCCACACCAGAAAGATCACCATAGACCAAGCCACCAGATCTCAGAGTGGAAGACACCGAGAGTGACTTTGTCCTCGCTTGCTCTGTTTCATTCATGCGCGATGCTCTTCTCACTGCCCTGAGCGAAAAGCTCTGTCAGACAGCACTCTTCTGGTGAGTATTTTACAAATCTTTAAGGCGATCGAAACTTGATAGAAACGAACTCGCGTGTCGACAGGAAGTTCATATTGTGGTGTTCCGATTGCAAGTCATCTGGCACAAAAAATGCTCAAGATAATCGACAATGCAGTCCGACGCAACGTCACCTTCATAGCACACATCCCGACCTCCATCACCTCATCAGATTCATCAATAGGGCCGTTTCAAATCAACCTTCGGTGAGCTGTCATATAAATAAAGGAATGTTACTACAGTATATTTGTGTAGTCTGCACATACCAACCCGCCTCTAAATACACTCCCCGACAAAAGCATAGACGAATGTTTGTCACTGACCAAACCATGTCAAGAGAGAAGGATACCATCGTCAATGCAAAGCGCCGAAAAGCACCAGCTAAACAACATCGATCTCATACATCATCACCTGTACTAACGCACTCCCTCTTCGCAGCACTCCTCTTGTACCTGAGGCCTAATTCCTACCTATAGTAACTTGGTCACACACTGCTACCATATTAAGAAACTCCGCTTGCTACTCGTCTCTTTCCCCATCCTTCTGCGGTCTTCAATAATACTCGACTAGGGTAAGGCATAGTCCATTATACCCACACCCATCACTGATATACCATAGGACTTATAAAGTCCGTTATATCCAGGTTCTAGACGCATACAGTTCATTAGAAGTGAGATGGGTCGGTCGCAATTCCATGCTTACGTTCCATTCACACCGTTCAACTCTTCTAACAGATGATGTGGAGCAGTGTCAAGCGGCCTTGCAGGAATGTTCCTCCGACGATCCAAACAGAACGACCCTCCTCAACAACCTTGGCAAGAGCCTTCGAGAAAGGTTTCTTCAGTATGATGACATGTCCGATCTGTCTAAATCCATCAACATCTATCGAGCTGCACTCGCACTCTATCCCCCTGACGATCCTGACCAATCCACATCTCTCAACGGCCTTGCAAGTAGCCTTCGAAACAGATACTTGCGGCAGGGAGACATGTCCGACCTGTCTGAGGCCATCGAGCTCTCTCAAGCTGCGCTGACACTTTGTCCCCCTGGTCATCCTGATCGATCCACATCGCTCAACAACCTTGCCAACTGCATTGTAGAGAGATTCGAGGAACGGGGTGTTTTGTCTGACCTGGATGATTCCATTAAGTTCCATCGAGATGCCCTGGCGCTTCGTCCCTTAGGTCATCCTGAGCGATCTATGTCTCTTAACAACCTTGCCTACAGCCTTCGAATCTCATTCCAGCAGCGGGGCATGGTTTCTGCACTCGACGAGGTTATTGAGCTCCATCGTGATGCACTACTGCTCCGTCCCCCTGGTCATCCTCACCGATGGATGTCTCTCAATAACCTTGCTATCAACCTTGAAGACAGATTCGAGCAGCGTGGTATGCCGTCGGACTTAGATGAGGCCATCGATGTCCATCGAGCTGCTGCTCGAGACCTCTGTGTTCCAGGTCATTTTAATGAATCACTGTCTCTTAGCAATACTGCTACATCTCTTCACACCAGATTTCTGCAGCGGGGTGCGCCATCTGACCTTGATGAGGCAATCAAACTCAATCAAGCTGCACTGGATCTCCGTCCACTCGGTCATCCTCATCGATCGACGTCTCTCAACAACCTTGCAAACAACCTTCAAGAGAGATTCCTGAAGTGGGGTGTGCTGTCTGACCTTGATGAGGCAATCAAACTCCATCGAGCTGCACTGGATCTCCGTCCCCTCGGTCATCCAAAACCATCGACGTCTCTCAGCAATCTTGCCATGTGTCTTCATGAAAAATTTCAGCAATGCGGCAATCTGTCTGACCTCGATGAGGCTATTAACCTTCATCGAGCTGCGCTACTGCATCGTCCTCCTGGCCATTCTGATCGGTCGATGTCTCTCAACAACCTTGCTATAAGCATTCACAGCAGATTCCAGCTGCAGGGCGCGCCATCTGACCTTGATGAAGTCATTAAACTCCATCGAGCTGCACTAGAGCTTCGTCCCCTCTGCCATTCTCATCGATCCATGTCTCTCAACAACCTTGCTGTCAGCCTTAGAGACAGATTCATGCAGCATACCATTGCGTCCGACTTAGATGAGTCTATTGAGCTCCATCGAGCTGCGCTGGAACTCCGTCCTCCTGGCCATTCTGACCGTGCCACATCTCTCGTCAACCTTGCGAATAGCATTAAAGGCAGATTCAAGCAACGTGGCATCATAGCTGACCTGGATGAGTCCATTGAGCTCTATCGAGCTGCACTGATGCTGCACCCATCTGGCCATCCCCATCGATCTTCAACTCTCAACAACCTTGCTAGTGTCCTCCGCAGCAGATTCAAGCTCAAGGGTGTCCAGTCTGACCTAGATGAGTCCATGAATCTTCATCGGACTACACTGGAGCTATGTCCTCCTGGTCATCATGATCGACACTTGTTTCTCACCAATCTTGCCGTGAGCATTGGCGACAGAGTTAAGTCTGACCTGGATGAGGCCGTCAGGCTCCATCGCGCTGCACTAATGCTCTGTCCCCCTGGTCATTCTGATCGATCCTTATCCCTCAACAATCTTGCAGCCAGTCTTCGAAACAGATTTGGGCTGCAGCGTGACCTGTCTGACCTAGATGAGTCCATTGACCTCCATCGAGCTGCATTGGGCCTCCGTCCTCTTGGCCATTTGGAGCGTTTTACATCTATCAATAATTTGGTCATCTGTCTTCAAGACAGATTTCATCAACAGGGTCTGATATCAGACTTGAACGAATCATTCATGCTGTATTCGCAACTTTCGCAACTTGAAGTATCTCATGTAATCTCTTTAAATGATCTTTCTATTGCCTTGACGTGGGTCGCCTCCGCCAAGGTGTTCAAGCATAGCTCTGCATTGCTTGCCTATCAGACCGCTTTGAACTTCCTGGACCGGCACCTCGCTGTCATGATGTTTTCTTCACATCATTTTGATGCGATCAAAAAGGAAGCTTCATCTCTCGCAATGGATGCTTTTTCGTATAGCGTTAGTCAAGGTGCCTTAACAACTGCTGTGGAGTTGGTCGAGCAAGGCCGTGCAGTGTTTTGGACTCAGTCAGCACGCTTTCGTACACCGCTGGATGAACTTTCTGCATCAGGCGATGCCGGAAATGCTTTGGCGGACGAGGCAAAGGATCTTAGCTTTCGCCTTCGTACCGCATTAGAAACATCTACCGAAGGCCCACAAACCCGGCAATTAATTGTGCAATGGGATGATGTAGTCTCCCGCATTCGCATGCTGCCACGCTTTTCCCGTTTTCTCCAACCTCCACTATTCTCTGACCTTCAAAAAGCCGCAGAATATGGTCCAGTTATCATTGTCAACGCGAGCCAGTACAGCTGCGACGCCTTGGTCGTATTGATCGATCAAGATCCTATCCACATTCCACTTGACATTACACAAGCTGAAGTCTCCGAGTTATCCTCTGAGTTCCAGTCGCTCATAAAACATGCCGGCTCATCCGATTCTGAAGCTGAATCGTACAAGATCATTGATATCCTGCGCAAACTTTGGGATCCCGTCGTTCGTCCTATTGTTGTTGCGCTCAGAAAGTTCATCCCACGCGGTTCACGCATCTGGTGGTGTCCTACCGCCAAGTTTACGCTGCTTCCGCTGCATGCAGCAGGACCCTATGCGCCGGGCGCTCATGACTTTTCTCACTTCTACATTTCCTCCTACACGCCAACTTTGGCCACACTCGTTCGCGCGCGAAAGCAGCTTTCCAAAGATGCATCCAACAATCATTTCGTTGCCATTGGCCAAGCAAATGCGGAAGGAGGGACTATCCTACAGCGTGTTGCTGATGAGCTAGTCGCTGTCGCTCAGCGCGTGGCGCCCTTCACGTCCTTTACATCGATCGAGGACAGCGATGCAACTGTTCAAGGAGCCCTTGATGTACTGCGCAAAAACCAATGGGTTCACCTAGCCTGCCATGGTTTTCTGAATCGCGATAAACCATTCAATGCTTCCTTTGCGATGCGCGACAGTGGTTTGATGATAAGGGACATCATCCAAGCCCACTTGCAGAACCCGGAGTTTGCATTTTTATCGGCTTGCCATACCACGGTGGGTGATGAATCGAGCCCTGATGAGGCGATTCATCTCGCTGCCGCAATGCAATTTTCCGGATTTCGCGGTGTAGTAGGTTCAATGTGGTCTGTGAACGATGGTGCTGCGTGCCAGATTGTTTCTGCTTTTTACGACAACATGTTTGATAGCTCAGGGAGATTGGACCCCACGCGTGCTGCTGTAGCATTGCACAAGGCTGTGAAGAAATTGCGCAAGACAATTCCATTAGAACAACAGATTGTATTTATTCATATAGGCATCTAGTATGTGATATGTACTACATGTAAATTCAATTATCGATTCGCTCGCCTTCATCAATGTCACTGACGTTGAAGAGATGGACTATCGGCCCTGAATGGGATAGCGCACGAACCACTACATGGAGATTCAGAGAACTAGCCCGTCTCCCGGGAACTGTCCAAGTTTCCACAATAGCTCCATGTTGTCGAGAGTCTTGGTCTGCCTCGTTGAATTCTCCCTGAGGCAGGCTTGCTCTCAATACCGGAATAAACTGACATGTTTTGCCCTGTATAGCCCAATCATTAGTGCATATGTGAGCATCTCGAATTGATACGAGCAATCCAACTGTTTCGTTTGTCTTGGATGACCTACTGAAGCAAAGATCCGGCAACTGACCCGGAGTTTGATCTTGGAGGATCTGGGGTCGAATCTATGTGGTTTGCCTATGAAATGTGGTGCTACTTTTATGAGGTCATGTTAATGGTCCTGGTGGATGCGAAGCTGTGAAGCATCGACCACCCGATGGTGCTAGATCATGATCCAGAAAGCAAGGCAGATCTATCGTCGAAGGGCACATCCCTGAAGACTTACGCATGGGATATTTTAGAATCTTTACGGAAAGGCTCGACATTCGCACGACATCGTTGACATTCAACGGTATGAGTGACAATAAATCTTACACCCATACTCAGAGTTTACTCCTGACCTTTCCAGCAGCCTCGGCCAATTTCCGCCTCTTCGTCATCCTGCCCAGTGAATCAGTATCCTGTCACACCATTAAGGATCACACATACCCCGAATGCTCTATCACGCTCGGCTCCACGCCAACACCAACTTGGAAAGCACCCATACGCTCTTCTAGAGGCACATAGTCACGTGCGGACGGGCCAAGGTAAAGTTGCCGAGGGCGCCAAATCTTGACTCCCGATGGAGAAAGCATCATCTGCATATAGGCGACGTTTAGTGAGTCTGTGGAATGAAAGAAGGCGAAGGGCATACGCACCTGTCGCCAATGTGCAACCCAGCCTACGACTCTGGGCACAACGAACAGGACTGGGAAGAAGTCCATCGGGAAACCTACCCGTTACCGTGTTACATAATTCCAGTCTTCGTACAATGCTGGCACTCACCCATCGCACGGTAAATCAGCCCGCTGATATATGAGAGTCAATTCATATCGATGATTGGATAAAAATAAGTTTACCTCCAGAAATCAACGTTCGGAGCTAACTTCCTCGATACGAAGTAATCATCTTTCAGCGCTGCATCATGCAGGGCCATTGCGGTATCAAGCAATGGATCACGGCCCGTCCTTGACTCCGCCATCAATCTTCCAATCCTGCCGCAACAATGACCACTTACACAGCAAATACCTCATCAGCAACCTTGCGAATGATAAATGAGCGCGGATCAGACTGCGGATCACCAACAATCATCAGGACAGCAAACAGTAGGAGGATGACTACGCACAGTCTTGTATACTCTGTGTCCGAATCCACTTAGCACCTTCTGACGCTTCTTTACTGCTTCTAAAAAGGCAGGGACGTTCTCGGGACTTATACAGATGTGAGGAGACGACAAGAATAGTGGCTATAAAAACGGACCTGCCAATGGAAAGAAGCATTCGAATAACAGCTTCGTTCGCACCTCCATGGAGTGGACCGCTGAGAGGTAAATACATCAGTATCGACATGAATCGAAAGCTCATGAATGAACAAAAAAAATGGCGAAGCACAAGTAAAAATGTGTTAAAGGCAATTCCATCTCGGAGAGCCTGGGGACGTAGGGGTCATTAGGATGCTGAACAGTACTCACTACAGTGACGCACAACCTGCCGAAACAGCGCTGAACGGGTCAGGTAACGATGACCCAGTCTGAAGTACGGTCGTCGAACTCGCGTTCATCTCGTGGTCGGCATGGAGGATAAAAAGGATGTCAAGTGCCTTTGCAAGAACAGGATGCGGCTTGTTTGAGTGAAGCTCTGATAGGTGGTCTGTGGGTGAGAGATGGTCGAGTTGGTAGAGGAACCTTGCGCAAGAAGAGTTTGAGATACAATGGTGCAGAACTAGTAAAATGGTGACTTACGACTCTGTATAGCTCATTCCTATTGGAGGCACGACGAAGTCGCGGCCCTGGCGGATACGGTATGCCATGCTACATGTACTATTATCAGCGAACGAAGAAGAGGACAACCACTAATACACACGCAGCTAATGTGGTAGCTTTACCGATCAGCCTGAATATTTGCCTGTCCATGTTCTGAAGTGCAGCAGGATCACCCTTGGCAGCTTTTGTGAACAAATCTTGCCCTACAAAAAGGTCACTAAGATGAGATGATACTCCAGGTCTGCTGACTCACCCTGCAAACTCGGATTTGCTTCCCCATAGTAGCTTCCCAAGTATGCAAAGGCACTTGTAAGCATCGACATGGGGTGAGCATCGTACCTAAACGAGCGGAAGAACCCTTCTGCGTCAGAATGTATTGGCCCGTGGAGGAGGACCTCGCTAGTGAAGTGGGATAATTGGGACGAGCTGGGCAACGCGCCATATATGAGGAGATAAGAAACCTCAAGGAAATTGGAGCGTTCGGCGAGTTGCTCAATTGGGTAGCCTCTGTGAAATTTGATGAGTGGTATAGTAACAGGTAAAGAATGCGTGCGTACCTGTAGCGCAATATGCCATTGTCACCGTCAATATATGTTATACGACTCTCGATCACGGCTGTGTTGAGAAAACCTCTATCAGCGACACGTAAACCGCGTTCTGTCTCGTCTTCAGGTCTGTCATTTGGACCCGGAGCAGCACGAATACCCTTGAAGAAGTTTGCAGGAATTGAGTTGTGGGAGATCCTGCGTAGCGTTAGTCGGAATCAAAGTTCTGAGGAAGAGAGACGCACGGGACGGTGTACTCCTTCCCAGTGCGGTTGTCTACAACTTTGAGGGACTCGTCTCGCTTGAGCTCAGATGCAGGAAATTGTTTGCCCATGTGAAGTTGTGAGGAGTATGATACAACTGGAGGATACTTGAATGGATGGCACGGAACAAGGCTTACGTCTTGACTCGGACGCGAGCAGCTCGTGATATTCGCATCCCGATGTCAGTTTGGTTCCTAGTTTTACCGGATGACAGAGGCGCTGTAGCCTGTCGATTTCACAAGCTTGCCATGGGTAGTCCACGCTGATCACGGGACCGGGAACTTGCCTCCAATTGGTCACAACATTTTTCATGTTTCTGGCTCATCGCCCTTGGAGAACATGGTTCAGATCACTTCTGGTGAATTTGAGGCTACGTTGCGATGAAGCTGCTTGTCATTAACCATCTAGCCGTTGTCATTATCTTCGAACACTCTACATCTTCGACAAGCGGCACTATCCTCAGGACCAACACAAGTCTGTTCCCTCTCTTTACTACTGTTCTATATGACACAGTCAAAACCTATTCCCATTCTCGCTGATATGGTTAATGATTGTGTGGGTCATAACCTGGAGTGTCTTATCGAGGGACCGACTGACGATGCCGTCGTGGAACAACGGAGACACTGACTTACATTTTGCTGGATGTCAATCATGATTTCGTCGATGTCCTGAACTGCACGCTGACCGCATCCTGACATTAAACGATGAGCTTCACTGTCGTTGGTCACAGCAAGCTCGCGGACACGGGATTCAGTCGTTCGATGCCCTCGCATGTTTGAAAGACACGCATGAAGCAATAAAATCCGACTGGAGACCATAGCGTCGATTTTCCATAAAGTTTGAGTCTTGCTAAGATAGGGAATTGAAGAGCTGTTAATTGTGAGCGCATTGATTCGCACTCGCACCACATTGAAATTTTCGTAGGGGAGGCGTTGATTGTGCCCACGACCATAAGCCGGATATATAGTGGAGAAACAGTCAGTCTGCCTTTACGCGATGAAACCATGAAGAAAGCGCACGGCGGGGAGACATAACTGTTGGTGCCTCCAGAATGATACTCCCAATCATCGGCGCTTTTCCCCCTCTGAGGTCTCTTCGATACATCATGCTACTCCATCCGGAGCAGCGGGTAAGTAGGGCGCCCATATTCCTAGTGATTATGCATCTGATGAGCAAGACAAGCACAAAGATACCTTTTGTCAAGCCGATAACGACCGTCGACGGGTGTTAGCTGAGCGGCACGAGCTTGGTAAGTACCACGTTTTCTAGCTGCCACAATAGAATTAAGTTTGTTCCATGCGGACGTGTGTTTATCGGAGGAGAGGTCACAAGTCTACTTGATGGCCTGACAAGGTCAGGGTGTTCAGTATGGATGTATCCGGACGCGCAAGCGCAAGCAACATCCCTCGCACAGCGTCTTATGCAACAGTTTCCGTTATTTGTTGCAGTACAAATATATAAATTCTCTCTCTCATGCAGTGGTGTTAGCGAAATACTTCTGGAAGTAGGACAGCACCTGGACTGGATCCAAATGTTTCGCAATTGCTGTGCAAGTCCAAGTTCAAATGTCTTGGAGTTGCACCGCTTTCTGTTGACTCCTATCTTACTTTCTTCTTTCTTTCATCATGTCAATCAGGACTTACCCCGCATTCTGCTCTCTCAACCAGCCTGAACCCAAATTACTGTCAATGCCGGTCCAGGCGCCTGTTGATCAGGCCATAAATTCTATCTTTGACAAGCTAGCTCGGGACCAGGATCTCATAGTCACACTCCAACTTTGGAACACTTTCTTGGTGGTAAAGCACTGTCCTACAGTAACACAGGATCTTCATCGGCTGCAGACTTTCCGCCCTTCACTCAGCAGAACATGTCTCCTGGGAAATCGTCTACTTCGACTCGCACCTTTTCTCCTGCCAGTGGGGAACCATCCATTCCATCTCGCGAGACCGTTTCTCCTGAGGGATCATGTGCTCTGACTCACGATCTGACTGGGCCAGTGCAATTGAAACATGCTCGACCTCGCGTCATTCATGCCTGCGATGAATGCCGCAATAAGAAAAAAAAGGTGAGGAGGGGTCGTCACCATCATTTTCATACATCTGACGACAGAGCACAGTGTTCTGGGGAGCAGCCACTGTGTCTGAGTTGTCAAAAGGCGGGAAGGGTATGCACCTGGACACCTATAAAGACCTCGAAAAATCGCCCTTGTCTTAAGTATGGTGTGGTCAAGTTGCGTCGACCACCATCTTATACAGACGAGCGGAACTCCATGACTACTAGGCAGCTCCACATTGCGGCACCAAAACCAACGTATCCCATCAAGCTTCATGATATGCATGGTGCAGCTGCTTTGGCGTCCGCCATGCGGTATCCTCAAGCAGCGAGCTCACCTTTGGGGTCTGAGTTTCCGGCGCATATAGCCACCCGTCGGACGGGAGCTGTTGACTTCGGCTGAGTGACTCAAGTTCGACTGACTGCAGTCATGAGTATACTTCGCTGCCTCCCACCAATCCTCCATATCTTGACAGTGTCTTGTCTTGTGTACATCCTCTCCACATGCGACGACTGTGTCATGAAGATATCTACCGCCGGGCCCTCGCCGGCCAGTAATACTTTACAAGGAGACATATTCCTGTCAGACATGTGCATCCCGTCCCACGTCTCATTCTAACCCTCCCTGGGTGTTGACACGACACTATCTGTTTGCCCGACTTTGGACTGCGGTATGGACGCTATCGTTTCACTTACATGGACACTTCAGAGATGGACTATTACCTACACGGGCGCTCCAGTGATGGGCTACATTATAGATATCGATATCCTTATTACACACGCTTCTGCGATGGGCTATTACATTATGGACATTGTACAGTAATGTACACTATTGATCTATATGAAAGAATTCCGGAAATCGAGTGATCTCGCATTTGAAACTATGTGAGACAAATTCATCGACTCATCTGAAGCAAATATGAAGGAGTGGCAACATGCGCAGTTTGATCTTCTCCGACATCCACCGACCTGAGGGGGAAACATCATTATCAAAGACTCCGTACAGTTTGATTGTGCGGATATCATAAACGATCACATTCGAGTCGCAACTAAGAATACTATACATTTGCTACCTATGTCAAAGTAAGCATTTACGCAATTCTTTCGAAGTGACAACACCCGTTGTCCTCCAGGAGCCTTAAAACATATTAAAACGACTTTTCTCTATGTCTTTCAGGCTCCAAGCTAACCTCCATCGGCACGGGTGAAAAAACCTGAATATCAATGAGGCTAGGAGGTGACTATAATTTACCATATTACATCATCGCTGTATCTCGAGTCATAACAAAAAACTTACCCTCGTTACAGTAAGTCGATCTTGTTCTAAGAAAATCCTGTCAAGGTAATGCATCGAAAAAGGCTCGGCGCAGACAGAAGCCATGTAAGGACGGTTGGAGGTGAAGTCTTCGTCAAGGCACGACTGAGCAAACCAAACAGGCTTGCGGATCACAACTCCTGGTAAATTGGGGTCATGTATATTTCTGAGCGAGCAATGAGTCGCTTATTGAAGTCCCAGATGTGTACGTAGAATTGTCCCTCGATGGAGAGTGCTTCCACTCTTTGACCAGGTTCAGGAGTACGATCTCGAGGAAGAGCATACGCCATTTTGCTACCGAACACACTGATTCGGTGGCTTGGATGATGCGGAAAGCACCATGTATACTTGGGTCCCCCAGTCTGACCACGGAATCTCAACACGAGTCTCTGATTGTATGGCCTTTTCTGAAAACATGGCCATATCAATGACCATTATTACAGGCCACGAGGCAGGGAGAGTTTCTAGAACCATAATCTGTGACTCCATAGAGGGTACGTAGCTGGGCATTAGATCTGGGTGAGCTACTGTACCGTGGAACGATGGGGAGGCGTAAACAACATAGTGTGGCACGACCTGGGGTGCTGAATTACGGCCAGGTTTCAGAATGGGAAGGAGATAAGTGATTCGATGCCGAGGTGTGTCATCAAGTCCTTGTAATGTGTACAAGATTATACGACCTTTTGAATCGATGATAACCAATGTGTGTTTGTCGACTAGATGTAAATCGTAAAACAATGGCTCTCCTGATTCACTTAAGGCATGCTGCGTATGCTAAGCGGCAGAGTTTTTAAGAGCAGAGTGAACTTACTCTTTTAACACGACCTTTCCTCCAATCTATAAGTTGTATGAACATGTTGGACGCGCCCACCGTGTTCCGTGAAGTGCGATGCCTCGTGTAATAGAGCATAACTACACGATCCCCACAAATTGCAGGCCCACCCACAATACAAATGACGGAAAAGTGCAGTAGATTCACCGGCATGCCTGCATTCCAATGAAGTGCTTGCAGAGTCCGGATGCGGAAGCCGGGATGAGCCTGCCAAAAGTCGACCCAACAGACGGGGTGATCTTGCTGAGCATCGCCCGAATGAAACACAGAAGGCGCTGAGATTGCGACTACAAGATCCTGCAGTGGGTCGACGACGACTGAACACGCAACCAAGTTGTGTATATGTACAGACTGTTTGAATAAGTCATGTTTAGGCCACACTTGAGAGGTTTTGGTCTTGTCCTTGCAGTCTCGAACCAAAAGAGTGTTCATTCTCCATACCCATAAAGTCCCACATTTCATGGACTGTGGCTGTATGCGAGGATCGTTTGAAGCAACCACATCCTGGAAAACAGTATTGACATGGAAACCAGATCGCCACAAGGATGCCAAGTTCTTGAGTGAGGACATCTTTCTTGCAATGGCGATGGAATCTGCATCTGCGGAATCGGTCTCATTGAGGCCTTGGGCATATAGCTCAAGCTTGTATTGGATGTGGACCGAATTTTGAGCTGCACCCCAGACAATTTTGCAGATCTGACGTGATTCACAAGTTAACCTCGAAGAAAACACATAACACAGGGAAAGAACAGACAATTGCACAGCGACAAATGTCCTCGGGGGTGAGGAAGAGTAGAATGTGACATATTAGCTCTGTAGGAAGCGACAATAAACCAACCGCCATGGTGATGGTTTTGAAGAAAGGAGTTAAACCGTGCAATTATGTAACGTTAGTCACCAGCAAGTCACCAGTATTCTAATGTCAAGAATCCTCCGGCGCATTATGCATGTACCTAGGTGATTTCAAAGAGTGAAAATCCTTACAGTATACTCATCGCTGAATTAAGGTGCAACAAACCATGATTGCTTGAAATACAATATACATCTGGTATCGTGAGCTTTCGCTGTACATATCCTTGCTCCAGACCATTTACTCGCTCGCCGCTTGCTTCTTCTCTCGTGAAAGCCAGCCTATCCGATCTCAGCAGAGAAAAGACGAACGGAGAAAAACACCTTACCTCTCATTTTTTGGTCGTGAGCTTTTTGCCGTTCACGGTCCATCGATTTCTGACGCGCAAGCTCTGCGTCGACCATAGGTGCCTCTGAATGACGGACATAAGTATTACATATTCGTTGGTCAGCAAGATATCCCAGAAGAGAATTCAAAATACGACGCACCATTGGGGGCAACCTTCTTTATCTCATTGAGAGCCGTCTCCGCTTTCTCGAAAAATCCAAGCTCTCCAAGGGCCTTTGCTTTTCGGAAAAGCGCCTTAGAATTAGCAGCGTTTTTGCTAAGAGCCTACAAATTCAGCGAGAAATAGTTGTGTCAAGGGGCGACAAACCTTGTCGGCAGTATCCACCGCCCGCTTCCAGTTCTCTTGTTTGATATGACAGGCAGACATATTTGCATATACTTTCTCCAGAATTATATCTGCCTGTCGAGCAAAGACCTCCTGTTACCTTTCATCGATCGATGAACTTCTAGTTCATACCTCAGTCGTTACATCTTTTGCACCAGCAGCTTGGTCGACTGCTGATACCGACGATGGAGACGACGGGCCAGCCATTCCAAGTGATTGAAGGGCGTTTCTGCAACATCGAGGGTTCGTAAGGCATGAACACGTGCTAACATAGTGCATCCGTACTTATCGATGCCGTGAAGATACAGAAGAGTCTTCATGTAGTAGCTATGTCAGAGGTCGTCTCTACATCGTACCAGTCTTTGGTCATATCCTCACCTCATGGTACGATCGCAATGCTACACACGATATAAAGATCACCTAATTAACAATGCCAAGGATACGCCACTCACCACTTTTGATATCTCCTACTTTGAACGCAGCATCACCAGCGTCTTTCTTCGAGCGTGCGGTGGCCAACTTTGACTCGACGGTAGATAATTCCGCTTGTGTAGGTACTTTGACGTTTGCATCGCGGATGTTATCCTGCACGACACCAGGTGATGAAACCGACTCTATGATCTCCGAGGCCTGAGTAGTTGAGAAAGAGGTATCTAGATTTGACATCGTCGGGAAAATTAGTGGTAGGATAGAGAAATTTAAGAGTAGTGATTGTAAGACTTTAATAGGGATCAAAGGGCGTAGTACGGCAGTAAACAGAGCTTTTCAAGTTAGTCCCTATCAGCTCGGATACTGCCGAATCCCGACAATAAGTCAGACGCGAATTTGAACTGACACGTCTTTTGAAAGATGAACTACTAACGGCGTCAGGCTACGACTTGGGTCTTCTTGGGTCCCTCGAATGCCTCGCAAACTCAAGCTTGTCTCTGCACGTTTAGCTCGTTGGTTCCTGTGTCTTTGACACTAACTCTGGGCGAAGCTAGTTCGCGCTTGATTTTGTTCTCACTATATGCCTAGCTATGCCACGTCCGGACCACATATTCAACTTTGGTGCGTGGAACGAGATATAGCTATTCCTTTACTTGGTTCCATTGATGACCTCACTTCACACCCCTGCATATGGTGCGCACGTCAGGATTCATCGCAAAGCACCCAGTCAAACTCGAAAATATATACTTGAATAGATCTGACTTGAAACTCCTTCAAAGGTTCATTTCGAGCACCAAGGGACTTGTTTGGTTGCGAGACCTTCAAATCTAAGTATATGGTGGTCGACCACGAGCTTGAAGTTATATTTTTGAGCCCAAGGATAAGCTATTATCCCTGCCAAAATAATCGCACGAGTTACTATAAGCTCACTGTTCATGGAATATCGATCATAGTATTCTCGACGAGATTCGGCGATGTCTCTTCGTCATGCAAGGTCTTTTGAACTGGGTAAATGCAAAACCGGCTTCGCTCAGCTTAAGTTGGAACACAGCTGTACTTGGAAAGCTGGCCCCGCAATGAGATTTGCCTCTAAGACGCTTCGTCGTAAAGTCGACGAGGGGCTCTGTTGGGTACTGGTGGACGATTCGTCACAAATGTAAATATTTTTGAGAAGTATAGCTGCCGGCGTGGAAAACCACCGTCCGGTCACAGTGTGACCGCAGGAAACGGTTCGTGACGTTTCAGTGACGGCTGACGAAGCCGATCGCTGATCGGGTCAGACACCCGACACCGCCGCGCCTAGCGAGCCATTAGGGTACACCGTGTGTAAATATAGTCCTAAGTCTAAGTCTAAATCCCAAATCTTCAAATCCCCCCCCTCCCCTTCTTGCGGAAAAACGCGCGCGACGCGCGACTCAAAACGTGACACCCAGCCCTCACAAGAGGGGAGGCTGAAAAACTCTTGGCCATTTGGATTAAAAGGAGAGAAGAGAAGAAAAAAAAAGGGATAGTAGCAGGCGCCAAATTGCATTGCAGCCGTGTGATGGCCGCCTCATCTGCGCACACACCCAAGAATTCGGAGCGACAGGGATTCACTCACTGGGGGCATCTTGTATTTGGGTTTTGGAGAAGTAGAGCTGCTTGGGAAGGAATGTTGGAGTCTTGATGAACCTTGAGAGCAAAGGAGGGGACAGTTGGTGTGAAGAGATTGGTTGAGAGCTGGAAAAGGTGCATGCTGACTACTTGTGGGGCCTAGCCAGTTGCCCTGACGTTCTTTGCCGGCACCAATGTACTAGGTTCCGAAGAGGACCTTGCGGTCCTGCCGGACGTCACGCCCATTTGGGAGGGTCTTTTTCACCCAAGAAACCTATGGTGGATGGCGTGATTCCCTGCTAAAACAGAGGGACGTGCAGTTGGGACCATGCCATTCCTCCAAAAAAACACACGTCCTTGCGTGCTAAAGACGCTCCTGCGTGCGCTCAACACGATCCCTGGCATGTGACTTGTTAGGTTTTACTTTGTTTATTGTTGACCTGCTCATTTCCTCCAGCCACACATCTACTGGTATGCCCCATTCTACATCGAAGTACTCGAGGCAGAGGCGTACCCACAGCAAGTTCTTACCAACTTGAAACTGCCAGCAAGAATCCAATATTTCAATACCAAGGTAAGTTCCACTAACAAGAAACTGCTGGCTAGGAACTCAATATTTTCAATAAGTTGGGTTCTTGCTGTGAGAAACTGCCGGCTAGAACACAGTATTTTCAATATGAAGGTAAGTTTCACTATTGCTCCAAGAAACTGCCGGCTAGAACTCAATATTTTCTATAAGTTGAGTAGAACCGTCCTCACTCCAATATAGCGATCTCTGGTGGCGAAGAGATGTTCAAGAACCCTCGTCTCCAAGATCACACTGACCCAACCAAACTTATTCACACCGCGCTGCATTTTACAGTGGTTTGCAGGCATTTATCGATGGAAGGAGGAGGTTCAAGGTATGCAAATGTCTCCACTGACCCAACCCCAAAATTATTCACACCGCGCTGTATTGACAGCGGTTTACAGGCATTTATTGATGGAAAGAGGAGGTTCAAGGTACGGAACCAACCCCAAACTTATTCACACCACGCTGTATTTACAGTGGTTTACAGGCATTTATCGATGGAAAGAGGAGGTTCAAGGTATGGAACCAACCCCAAACTTATTCACACCATGCTGTATTTACAGCGGTTTACAGGCATTTATTGATGGAAAGAGGAGTTGTCTCCACTGACCCAACCCCAAACTTATTCACACCGCGCTGTATTTACAGCAGTTTACAGGCATTTATCGATGGAAAGAGGAGTTGTCTCCACTGACCCAACCCCAAACTTATTCACACCGCGCTGTATTTACAGCGGTTTACAGGCATTTATTGATGGAAAGAGGAGTTGTCTCCACTGACCCACCCCAAACTTATTCACACCGCGCTGTATTTACAGTGGTTTACAGGCATTTATCGATGGAAAGAGGAGTTGTCTCCACTGACCCAACCCCAAACTTATTCACACCGCGCTGTATTTACAGCGGTTTACAGGCATTTATCGATGGAAAGAGGAGGTTTAAGGTACGCAAATGTCTCCACTGACCCAACCCAAACTTATTCACACCACGCTGTATTTTATAGCGGTTTGCAGGCATTCATTGATGCCCTCACCGCCCTCACCGCTATAATGTGCTCCAGGTGATCATCCGCCAGGGACCCAATTTGCGGCACTGTGCTCATGCCACTCAAGGCAAATATAGGTAAATACATGCATGTATTTAGGAGTGGGCGCACACTAATTTGTCCTCATCTGTCTTATAGTATGGGCGTCAACAACCTTTGGGAGGTATGTGCACCGCTGGCCATTTTCAGATTTGAAGCTCATTCGTTTTACAGTTACTAGAGCCTGCTGCAAAAACAGTGCCCATTACCTCGCTTGCCCTCCAGGACCGCTATGTGGGACCTGCTCCTCACCTGCCCTATGTGATAGGAGTTGACACAAGGTCAGTCTTTGCACGTTCGTATTGTCACATTTGGTACTAACTCCTTCTCACCACATGCAGCAGGTGGTTTGAACAGTGTCAACAAGGCAAGTGGCACCTGTTACAAGAACATCTAGACACTTGGGCCCCTACCATTTTTCTCTAATCCTCCTCGTATCAGCCCTCGCGTCATACCCTTACCCGACCTTACCCTTGTCATCCTTGTCATCCTCGCATTCCCTTTCGCTCTCTATCTGTCGCTTCAGCAAAGCCAGTACATCTGGCCGAACCCTTTTGCTGACGAAGCATACCCATGCTCCGTTCCACCACCTGACTGATCCTGTGGACAGTCCCTTTTGCCCTTACCGTCTGGACGGTAACCTATGATACGATGCACGACGCATCCCCTTCACCCCGTTTCCCTTCTTGATCTCTGACTCAGTGCGCAGTCGCACATGCGACCTATACTTAGCTCCGCAGTTGCACGGTCGTGCCCCTGCGCGTTTCACTTCTTATTCTGATCTTTGACTCACTTTCTTATCTGCACGTTCAGAGCTCGTCCGTGTCTCACTTCGAACGTGCCTTCCTTTTATGGTCATACCCTTTACCGATTGCTTCTCTGGTAGTACGAGTTATCATCCACTAATACGCTTCCTGTCCTCTATATAAACTCGCTACCATGTAACATATTCCTTAACTTGAATCTACTTGGTTCTTGACCTCCTACTCTCACCAGAGTGATCCTTTCTGCCTCGCCAGTCTATATTCTATCTTCTTATCTGCTCCTCGCGGATAAGCCTATAGTCTCGACCTTACTCATTGACTTCGTTGACGAGCAAAGCCCCTGTTAACTAGTCGGACTTCTGTCCTTCTAATTAACGACGATCCTTACAATTAACCTTCGGGTATCGTAAGCCTAGGCTGATATAGCTTATTGTCTCGCACCCGCTTGACATAAGCTACCCGATTTGGACATAGGCGTCAAATCTTACTTGCCGAAACTCGCCAAGTAAGACCCCTAACCTTGGGCTAGCCCAAGGACGTCCTCGACCATTGACGACACACGCTCTGTTTGAGCGTCGCCAACAAATACCATCCAAGTCGTAACAGCACCGTGCACACGCTCAGACTGGGCAGAACCCTGCCCTTCAGACATTCTTATTCTGCCTCGCTCGACTTACTCAGTTCCCGGTACAACTAGTCTTCTGCTATGATGGCAACCAGCGGCCTGATGTCAAACGAGGGCATAAGGTATCTTCTAGGGAACACTGGATGGTCAAGCCGACTCAACGCATCTTGGATGTCTTCAATACGCAATGGATTATGGTGTGTCTTCTTTACCTTCGTTCATCATCTCATCATTCAACCCTGGTATGTAGGCTGCAGGAGAAGCTGAGGCTCAACTTGCATTGATGAATAGGGCCGGTGTCATTGATGCTGTACTGACAGACGACAGTGATACCTTCGTATTTGGTGCGAAGACTGTCCTTCGAAAGTAAGTTTTCACTCAGGTTTAGATATCTGTTCCTTATGCTCCTGCCTTAGCTCAACACTTTCGATGGACACGATCAAGATGTATACTGCCGGCGCCATTCAGGAACGAATTGACCGTTGTCTCACTGGTGATGCTTTCATTACCATGGCCATCTGCTGCTGCGGTGATTATGATAAGGTAAGCCTCGAACACATCATGCGGATACTGATTTTTGTTAACTTTCTTCTTCAGAGTGGTCTTCTGGGCTGCAGGTGCGAGACAGCACTTGGTTTGGTCCGCTGCATGGACAACAGTATGTTGCGTAGTGCCATATGCAGCAACAACCAAGGCTGGAGTCTCAAAGAGTGGCGAAACATTGCTCAATGTCACCTTTTGAGTGATCCCACTGGGAAGATGGGCCGATCGCATCCAGCGCTTGCTCGCTCGCTCCCTGAATCATTCCCCAGTGCGGACACCATCAATTCGTATGCGCACCCTGCAGTCACCTCACTCGCCGAGGTACCCAAACTGCAGCTGCCAGCCCCTCCTGACCTTGCCCAGCTTGCATGTGTGATCCAGCAGTTCCTAGGCTGGGACTCGAAGAAGCTTCTTAGTGCCTTCCACACCACTATCTGGCCCGTTGTCATCCTACATGAACTCCTGGAGGATCTTGCCAACAATTCACCCAGGAGCAATGAGGTACGTGATTGCTTTATATTCTAAACATGCTGATGGACATGTAGTCTAGTTCAGCCTTGCCTCAGGCTGCACCAGGGCAGTGTTTCTGAACCGCACATCACACTCAAAGAAGACACTTGCAGGGATTTCCGGGCACAATACTGACGTGCCCATTGATGGGCTTGAGAAGGCCACAATGCAGTTGCTCGAGGAGCCAGCCCCAGGCCATCGGGATGATATCACACCATCGCATAAGTACGTTTGAGTATGGCTTGCTGACAGAATCTATGACTGCTGGGCGAAGACAATGTTCCTATCATCGTCAGGTGATCTCCGCACGGAGGTACGTCGCTCAGCCATATTGTCATTGTTCTTGCTGATGTACAGATAGAGCCGCCCCTCATCAATGACTCATACTGTCCATCAGTTGTCTGCACATCCTGTCTCTGATTTTGATTCTGATTCTCCCGCCTCCTCTTCTATGAGCGTTATTGACCTTACAGAAGATGCAGTGGCGTTTGCTGGTGGCACTATCATTGATCTTACAGGTGATGATGATAGTGAATTGATTGATCTCACTCTTTGATGTATGTTTGGGTACTGTACTTGTATCTCGTCGCATTTGAATAAATAACAGTTTTATTGCAAGTACTATGTTATGACAGGAAGTCAAAAGTCTACTGTTTTGTTCTTAAGCGGATGAACAGCACTGCCCACACTGCCGGCACTTGATAGTTGGCTGCTGGTTGGGGTTGAAAAAGTGCTCTCTTGGCTCGGCAGGGTCGTCATTTGAAGAGATAAGGTACTTTACTATTGTCATGTTCGTGAATTCAGTGCTCCACCCACCCCACTCACAAATCCGTCTCAGGTGCCAGCGCCTCTCTACATGCAGATATTGACAGCCTCCCCGACGAAACGAGTGCGTGCCATAGGGGGCAGGGTCGATACCTATGTCAAGGAGATTGTTCCGGAAGAGCTCCAAGAACTGTTCCAAAGACTAGATGGTCATATTTAGCTATTTCGATCGACGTACACAGTAATAACGTACCATAGGGCTGTTTGCCTCTGCTATGCGGTCGCCAGATGCCACTTTTCAGAAAAGATAGCCTGATGTCAACTTAGACTCTCGCAGCCAGGCAGCAAGTGCACGTGCAGGACAGATATGAGCTTCGTCCGACGGGAGGACCCAGAGGTGAAAGGGCTTGATATCTAAAATTACGTATCTTAATTGTAGTCCTGCGAGCTCAATATAGATTGAATACATACCTCCATTTTGGTGGGTCTTCCGGAAGGGAAGGTATAGCACAACCCGATCTTGCTCCACATGAAGATCATGAACCTGTATTTTGAGAACCTCATCAAATCACAACATGCACAAGAACACCACCGTATATGCAGCCTGCAGAAGTCTTCGGACACGTCCACCGCCCCAGTGGTCTAAGTTTTTGGTACCAGTAGTTCCCGAGCCTCCTGCAGATTTTCACCCACCAGGTTGATATGCCTGGATAGTCCAGTTCCGAGGAAGGTGGTTGTGATTGTGAAGTTTAAACATATTTCCTGCAAACGTTTGAAGGTTCTTCGAAGCAAAAAATTGAGAATTAATGTGACTCACCGATGTTATAGCACGAGCGCTGTTGGCAACCTCGCTGGCTTGGATCTAGGGTATTGGATGATCAGCCGCAAATCAGTCAAAATAATCAAAAGTGCTATATACCTTGCGCCTCCGCAGTGAACACATGAAAGATGACACCTCAACTGAGATTGAAGGATTGCCAACCATGGTGCCATCTCCAGCATCGGACTCATGCCAATGCATGTTTCCGAGACCGTGGAGCTTACCAAAGGCATAGGTCATCGATGCTCGCATCTTCTGAGCATGTCCATATGTCCCCCGGTCTTTGGTGGATGGTTTTGGGCTGCCATCAAGATTAAGAGAGTCGCAACTTCCAGCATCGTGTCAAGTGTTTGTTAATTCAATTGAGTGGGACTCGGACTCACGCATTCATACCAAGCAATGATGACCCAAGGAGCATTTGGTTGTGGTTTCTTGTTGAAGAACTCCTCATCTGTCCGTAAAAGCCTCATCTCAACGGCAAACACGAGACATGAATTTATCAACCTGTCAAAGTGAACAATCAAAGTCATGATGCAACTGTTAGGACTAATGACTCACCTCTGATATTCAATGTCTGTACCCTCTGTAACCCCCTTAGAAGCCTCCATGAGAGTCGCTTGAAGTTTAGTAAACTCAGAAGCATCCATTGACATATTCGTTGTCGGGGCACTTTGTTCTTTCTCGCTGCTGGGGTTAATTAAGGTTTCTTGTTCTGCTGCAACGTCCTCTTCGATATTGGCATTCTCAAGGTCAGCGGCAAGTGGAATCACGCTGTGCAGACCAGCAAAGCACTGCATGGGGTCAATCACTGTAGTGGCCATGATTCAACAGAAAACTTTGCAGACTCTTACTGTGCTTGGACTCGGACCAATCGTTAATTGGCAATTGCGGTGCTAATACTTGTATTACCGGCAGCATAAACTTTGTGTACCTAACAGAAGATACAGGTCCTATCTACAGCACTTAGTCAACTCAAAGTACCTTTTCACGATAGCAGATGGCCTTGTCATGACATACTCTCCACCTCCCCTCCGGTAAGTAAAATCAGTATCAAATGTGGCGCCAAACTCTCTGCGCACCTGTTCCACAATGCGGGACTGAGTCGACTTGCGTACATCATGCAGCTTGTCGACGATGGCACTATACTTCATGTGCTCTCCTTTAGCACTGAAGGTAGCCCAGAACTGCTCTGGGCTGCCTTGACGGTAACACTCGATAATGTCCTGGGCACCAAGGAAGGTCAGTCGGATGCAGCCGAGCATTACAGGGTTGTACTCACCCGCCAATCAGACCATTTCTTCTTCGGGCCCTTCCACTGCTTGTCTTTGCCATAGCGGTAGAGTACCGGCCAATATTTAACTGCAATTGGATGGCCGCGGATGACAATAACAGACAGACCTTTCCAGTACTCACTATGGTCATCCCACATGCTATTTAGGTGTGCAATATCGTGTGCGAAGCTGATGGCAGGGGGATCAGGAATCTCACTGTCGTCCACTTGTAGGATGGTTCCATCTCCAAGGTGGAGTAGACGGGGGTTTCCTATGGCCGGCGGCGGAGATGCACTAGGTGCGCGGCTTTCCACTGCAATGGTCTCGACACCAGAGTGAGTAAAACCTTCGGCACCTAGCGCAGGTGGTGACCAGACAGCACTGGGTTCATGGAGGGCATCTTGAACAAGGCTGACGATCCTTGAGCTCACGTTTTGGACAATGGTGTCCTGCAACTGTCATCGATTAGCTCAGGGATAAAGTGTGATAAAGAAGTGCACCTCATCAATGTAGGCAGGATAGGGTGCATTCATACTTATAGCAAGCGGCAGATAACTGGGCTCAGCACCAGTCGCCGTCTGGTACGGATACTTCGTGCCAATCATCTCAGCCTGTCAAGGCTTTTCAACAAGGATCAATAAAAAGAAAGGAAAGAATAGCTCACCCCACGGCAACAGAAGCACGCGACCTCAGTTGAGGTGCGCGTGTCCTTTGATCGATCAGTGACAGTTGCAGCAGTGGCAGCACCAAACCAACTGCGCACGGCGCTGCATCTGCTTGGTGCGGCCTGCCCTAGGTATATCTGTGGGTTTGTGTGTCCGAGGTCCCTTGTGGGACTTGTGGGCACCTGGACGTAGCCTTAAGCAAGGGGTCAACTCCTGGTGAACGCCACTCCAAAAAAAATACTCGCACACCTGTCCCATGAGTCAGGATCACGACTGAATACTTCTAACTGCTCAATCAACATGGCCTTGTTGCCCGTCTGGCGGAGGTCGAACTCATTGCAGTGCTGCTTCAGCACTTTTACAGTCATATTGTAGCTATGGTACCAATGTCAGCATCATCAGAGAGGAAGCGTGTCAACTTACATGGGGAGATACTGTAACTGAAGGTTCTCCTTCGCGCCTGAATCGTCGGGGGAAGGGAAGCAACTGCTCAGACAGAGTTTTCACTGACCATACTTAGGTCATGCGCACTAGCATCAACGCTCCAGAATGCCGTGTCACCATCCGAGACGGGATACAGTCCAGCCACATTCATTTGCACGAAGCTCAAAATGCTGTCGTCATTGTCGTCGTCAAGGCAGAGGGCAGGTCTGCAGAAGTGAGGAGAATCTTCCGTTTCCACAATGGATATGTTGCTATAAGAACAATGAAAGTCGAGACACTCAGAATAATGGCAAAAGTGCTGGCCTCGTTGAGTTTGTTTGATGGTGCTAGAGGGGCGACAGTTGGCTCTGCTGCAGCCGAGCTGGAAGTGTTCGAGAGCCGACTGACGAGTGAAGGGCTGAAGGGTGAGTGCTGTGGGGGTGTGCCGACGATAGCAGAGGTAAGGACGCACGCCACATGCTCAGCATGAGGCAGCGCGATCTGGGGGACGGGCAAGTCAGCAATGCGAACGGTATGGTATCAGTACCAGTATAGTGCAAGAAAGTGACAAGAGAAGGGACCGTTTCGCTTAGGTCAGCGTGCCTTGGACGGCGTTTGCCGAAGTGTCACGCCCACCAACGGACGGTGTTCTGTGCGAGTTCTGAGCGAGAAGATTGTTTGTCGGTATTTGGCTCGCTTAACTCTAAGCTCGACGTTCGCGACATCCTCCGCGTAATTCAACTCTACCTGTCCACTGGAAATCACACCAAAAACAAACAGAAACGCGATGGCACTGATCGGCACGATTGCTGGTTTCTCATTATTCGGTCTTGCAGCGCGTTTTGGGCAGCTGGCAATAAAGAAGAGAAATCTCATGGAGAGTGCGTGCCCTCATTCACTACAACATTCACTGTGCCGCAGGTATAACACTGATACTGACGTCTTGAGCAGACCTTGGCGGACACGCATTGTCAATGGGCGTTTTTGGTTATGCTGGATATTGGGCATATCAGTGGGACGAACGTGCGGCGGTTATGCTTGCGCAGAAGCGTGCGGAGATTACTGAACGGAGAGAACGGAAGTTGGCGCAAGCTCAGTAATTTATTTAGATTTTGTGGTGCGGAGGTGAGTTCGTGATTCTTGATTGATTTTTTCATTATGATGACAGACTGAATATTTTGGCTTGAAGGTTGATCACGCGTAGGGTACGAAGGATACCAACCACTTTAATGGAGTGTACTGTGTATATTAGGTATCTTTCGACGCCGCACTGAACGTTGAACCTTGTGGTCATTGAGCAATACCATCCTCCACGTCGAACCTCATGTTTGTCCTATGCCAACTTTATGCCACAAAATACTTGGAAACAAGCTTTTGGTGCCAGCGCCTGGTGATGAAACTACTAGTAGAGACCAATGGAGTAATTGCATGTGTTCACACTGTCCCTCCTTTGGTCCCTACTATGTGCTTGGGTATCCATATACTTCCATTCCTTCCGTTTGACTTGAGCAGTGACGTGACTTGGGGCGTTGTGATATTGGATTCTGAGAGCTGCGGGTGTTCTATCAGCGACACCCTAAGTTAGATCTGATGATTTTGACAAGGGTTCCAGAAGGAAGAAACCAAATAGATATTACTGCGGTGGTAGAACGAAAGCGTAAGTAAGTGCGTAGTCATCATACATTCGAGGTCCGCTAGTCCTGGAAAGAGGCAAGGATTGACCTCCAACGACGACAGCAGTCACTGTCCCAGAACTCCCGCTGAAGCTATGTCCTTACTAGATTTGAGCAGCGTGTTTTCTCTTGCGCTAAATCCCCTACTGTTATTTGAATGCCGATATCTGGCTGCGGATAGGATTCGCTGTATAGAAGGGCGGTGGTACAAGTGCCGCCGGTTTTGCTGTACGTATGAGATGTCTTCTTGATTTCATCGCTTTGGATGATTTGCTTCGGTCGGAGTTAGTAATAATCTCTGATTATGTAATTTTATGCCTCATGGTCACTGTTTCTCCCCGGACGACGACGACAAGAACATTGTCGGTGCCATTCGACGCGTTCCCTATGCCAGTCACTCATTTGATGTCTGCTCAAGTTTCACCACTCGCTCTCATCATCCCACGTCCAAATATTCCCAGACCGCGTCTTCCAACAAGTTCTTTCGTTTCTTCTGCTCCACGAACTCCTTCTCGTAGCCCAGTCGCGTCTCATATTTTCATTTCGCCCCCAGCTCCCAATAGGAACAGTTGTGATTCATGGAATAGCTCAAACTATGATTTTGACGACCCTAACTTAGACTGGAAGGAAGATGAAGTTAGGTTACTTGGCAGGGTGGGTCGAATTTCGGGTTTCGTCAAATAATTCACCTAAAATTCGCCACAGACCTTGGATGCTCTACCTTCTCATCTTATCACACCTTTCAACGGCTCAATTCCGCCTCCGAACCTTCTTGACAAGATTGCACGTGGTATCACTGCTGCCAAAGGCCCAAATGACTGGCCCCATTCCGTCACCGCGACGCGTGCTAAATTGCTCGACCTGGCCCGCGCAAGAGCAATGGAGGAGCGGAGAAAGTCCATCATTGATGAGGACGTCATCTTTCTCAGCGGCAATGTACATCGTCCAGCAGATATGAGCAAATGTGCTGAGCGCAACGATACTTCACCAGACGTACTTCAACCTACCACAAACACTCCTAAGCGCCACCCACTATACAGGCAGTCCAGTATGGATTTCATGACTGACGCAAAAGCTGACCATAACGAGAGCATCGCTCGGTATGTCTTTCCCTCCGTTCTATCCCCTTATCTGATTATACGCAGCCTCTCGCACCGTCTCCAACGACACGAGCACACTTTCCACCACCCGTACTTACGTCCTGCTCACTTGCGTCGCCCAATGGAACATTCCTTTACTCCCTCGACACCCAGCTCATCAACGCTCAATGCCTCCCAGAGCAATATACGAAAGTCCACTGCGTCTTCAAATTCAAATTCTACCTTTGGCACTCCCATTTCCTCATCGGCGCCTCTCCGTCCTTCCTCCCTGCGCAGATCGTCCACGTTGACCCTCGCGAGCTCTTGCGATATGCGCGTAGATCCGGAAGGTGATGGCGAGAATCTATTCAAGACTGCCGAATTTCGCCGTAGCGGAGGGTATCCTGACGCAGCTATCGTTGGTGTAAAGGTAAAGAAAGTCCCTACGCAGCCTACTAGTCCAAGGACACCGTCAACAAAGAATGCTAAGACGTCCTATTCAAAAACAAAACCTAAAGTCCTCGCTCTATCCGTAATCTCCCCGCCAAAGACACCTCCATCCAAACCTCGAGTGCTACCCACTACCTCAATCAAAGCAGCCACGCCCATCAAGCAGCCTAAATTTCGCAAGGGACACATGCCTTCCCTATCCATCTCCTCCGACGAAGAGGAGACAGCACGTTCTCAACGTGCGAAGAAGCCCCGTACGAGTGAACCTTCGTGGTCGCTAATCGCCTCCTCAGACACACATGCACGACAGACCCTGCCAGTTTTGGCACCAACGCAAATTACTACTACATCGTCTGTGCACAAGGATCAGGCTAAAAAACGCGAATCTGGGCGAAGTGCTTTTTCACTGCCCAAAGCTTCCTCTAGCTCGTCGGAGAACGACAACGAATTTTCGACGGCGAGTGTGGAGACTGCTGCAACAACCGTTTCGCTCTCTACACCTGCCTTGCCAGTGTCTATGCCAAAGGCAAAACCCAAGCCAAAGGAGACGGTGGAACCGAAGGCAACGACGAAGCTAAAGCCCATCCGCCGCAACCTGATGCGCAACCCCTCGATGTTTGGTCCTGAACTCCCGTGTCCACAGGCAACTCCATCGCCTCCGTCGCGTATCCCGCTGTCATCTCCTATCGGATCTCCTGTTGCAGTATCCCGTGCGTCTCCCGTGACTGCATCTCCGAGTACGCCTTCGATGTCCCCAAGAACACCTGCTACACCTCTGCTCGCTACCCAGACACGTCCACGCACGCTTCGCCGTGCTGCTCGTAGGATCTCGTTTGGGAGCCTGAGAGCTGCGAGTCCTGTTTTGTCTGGCGAGAGTGGGGTGGTCACGCTTGGGAGTGCGTTTCAGCTTGCTTGATTTCACTTTCAATGGTCTAGTGTGAGCGGTGCTCACAGACATTCATCTTATCTTATCTTCGATGCTTCAATTATGATTTTTTCGTCTCCTCCGTCTTCATCTCTGTATATCTTGGATTTCGATGTACTTGTATGTCTTTGACGATCGTTCTCACTACTTCATTTGATGAATTCTTTTGCTTTCTTTCTTTTCCCTAGTTCTCTCTTCACGTCTTTTTTTTCGGCGTTCGCAGGTTGCAATCTTCTCTTGCTGTTGCCTTTTTGAAAACTGATCTGGTTTTGGTACTTGTGTGCGAATCTTTTTTCTGTTCATCTTGTTCGCCTTCAGCCCATACTCTGACGTCCCTCCTATCTCTTCCGCCTTCTCGTCCCCGCCCAATCCCTTCGCTCCTGACCTGTCTTTTTCGTTTTCCAATCGTCAAAGGTATGTCTCGCATGTCTCTCACCTCGAATCTGCTAATAATCCATATTTCGTTAGGACGCCCACACACTCACTCGTTCGCTTGTTCGCCATTGTGCGTGATAATGCACCCTCCTTTGTTCTCCGCTTTAAGCGACCACTGTCATTCTCGCTCTGCCGTGAAACGCGCAGTTCACACTCCCTGTCTTTCGGTTTCTTGATCTCTCCAATATCAATCTCTCGTCTGCTTGGGACGGGTTTTTTCATGGATGGATGAAACTCTTCCTTCAATGAATGGAAGGTTCATATTCATTTCTCCCTCTCTGGCTATTCGCTCCTCAAGCTCGTCGACGAGCTTGATCATCTATTCATCAGTGCATCCATCCCATTCCGCCATTACGTTTGAACCACCAAATTGGATCATCACACATTCATTAACTTCGCATTCATGCTGTACCATCATGGCCATTTCATCATCGCTTTCGTTCCTACTGCCTCCGCTCCTGTCTACATCATTTGATCGTTCTTTCTTTGTACGACAAGCCCCTCCTCTTTTGTACAAACCGCCCCTCTATCCCCTTCTTTGTACAACTCAATTTCTTTGTACGACTGCCTTCGTCCCTACACACGTAGATCGTGTTTTATGACAAGGAATTATATACGACGCATGTATGTACTTTTGGTCGCATTTGTACTAATCAGCGTGTACAGGATTCTTGCTCGTGCCGTAAATAATTACAAAGAATGTCTGCAACGAGGATCGGCTTGCTAAGGCGCCGTTCAATCCTGTGCTAGATCAATGATCTGAATGGTGTCATTGATGGGCTGAGATCGAACTCATCACTCAACTATACCCAAAGAATACTTCGAAGACGGCACTGCGATGGCACGCCGCTGAAATTGCGAACAGGTTTCCGATCCTCATGCACATGGCTTGCTCATGGCGGCGTTTCAAACATTTTGCAAGTCACCACATTGCATGATTGCATCCACATCTGCTACTTCCGAATCGATCTTATCGATATATTCCCGGATGCACCGTCCTTTTGTACCTGAATTCATGCTGAAACACTTACGATAAACCAGATATCATTTCTCTCACTTACTAAGGTTAAGCGCTGGATGGTGTGGTATATCAAGCACGAATGCGATCGTTTTACGTCCACCAAGCTTCCCCGCTCGCTCGCTCCCATCCTCTGACAGTATGACTGTAGTCTCGAACGATCCAAGTTACTGGCCAACCATCGATTCGACAATTTTTTACAGCTATTTCGTAGGTCCGTGGAGAGCCAGCCACATGATGACCGTGATGACTCGATTGACATTGGCTGCCCGGGCTTCACAGTTACATCATGTGCTGCGGTAATATACGATTGGGGTGAGCAATATCGAGTATGAAAAGACCGCTGATATCATGGGATTTCTAGGACTTACGTTCGGACAAGAGGTAGGTCGACACCATCACAGGAGCAGTCGTCTCGCTGACAACAGTTTATAGGTGGAGCTGATCTGGGTGAGCGAACTTTCAGATGAAAAAAAGATATAAAAATGGTAGCTAACTCGCGGCAGAGGCAACGGTGGTCCATGATGACCGTTTTGTATCTCATTGTATGTAGATTGTGTTTTGAAGCGTGGTTGGCGAGTTGTACTGAAGGGAACACATCCTAGGCACGATATATTGCAATAGCATTCTCTGTGTACGTTTTGACGTTCAAACCATTGGTATTGTGCTCATTATCCGTCTTTCACAACCAGGATCAACATGTTGAGTATGTTTCCTTGTATAGACCCTATTTCTTTCTTCTGACGGGCGGCATACAGTCAGTCTTCCAACGGTTTCGAAGACCGGTACAGTGAGTAGTATTCCGCACCGATGCCTTCCCGTCCAAACAACTGAACTACCATGCAGGGGTGAGTGAGATTCTCGAATGACTCGTAACTTCAATATAACGACTCCCACAGTTGTGAGTTTCTTGCCAGCTTGTGGTCTTCTGAAGCTAACAACTAATGTTGCTGGATTCGTCAGGCCTTATTATGATTGACGCAATTAATTGGATGAGTGACTTCATACATATAATACTCGGTGGTGAGCTATACACTTCCATGATATTAACTTGATTGAAACATCATGCAAGTCATTGCGATCGCTCGGCTGCATGCCATGTATCAGGGATCCAGAAAGATGCTGACATTTCTTATTGTTATCTTTCTGGCCATCAGAATCCCTGTCGAAGTGATGAGCGCAATGATGACGGCGCAGATTTCAGGGGGTAAGCTCTAATGTTTGTGTGATATGCTTAAGTGCATCAGGCTCACTGACATGTACCAGAGGAATACATCCTTTCCGGCATCTATAGGTGCAGAATTAGCTATCCGGACAATTCTATATTCCTGGGTTCTATGACTTGGATACTTGGCACTGTGTGGGAGGTCCTTTCACTGTGTCTCGCGGTCTGGATTGCTGTGAAGCACTTCCGTGAACTACGAAGACGCTCAACGGGAGGCATTATGGGGCACTGTTTTACGGTGTTAATGCAAACTCACGTTACTTACTTTGCAAGGTGAGCTCACAACGTAAACTTGGTTTTCCTGTTCCGCTGAAGTTTGGCGCGCGCACTAGTTTTTTGGCTGTCTCTTCCCTGCAGATCAGTTTTTTCTCTCCGACATTAATAGCGGTATGCCGATCTGTCACCACCCTCTACGTGCGACAATGATTCATCATTTCTATAGCACGAAGATTCCCAGGGCATTCAGATTTATATCTGTCTGATTCAAATCTTCCAGATGGCGCAGCTGTCTGTGCTGGGACCACGTCTTATCCTTGGCGTTCGAGAATACAACGCTAAGCTCGTGGACGCCTCCGATACAGCAACCGATATGACTTCAATTGCTTTCCAAGAACGTGTTTATGTGGAAACTAGCACTACCGTGTAGTTCGGAAGATGCTCGATGTGATTTACGACTGGTAGGCTGTCTGATACAGAGCGGTTTTTGTATTTAGTTTTGTCGCGGAACTTACTTAAGTTATTTAATGTTACAAGATATATTCGAAAGAGATATCAATATTAATGTTCCTACCACTTGCAATTGCATAATCCCCCACGGCCCTCCGGGCAGCCCAGGACCCTTCGTATCATTTCACAACAAAGAAAAAAAAGAAAACAAAAATGCACGATCACAGTTTTTCCATTGGTATAAACCTAGCTGAGATCTTTGTCGATGTTCCACGTACGGTATTAGGAGAGCAAGGATATAAAGTGATTCGCTTGGATGACATTGCGGGGATCACTGAATCTTAGTAAGTGTCTCTAGCAAGGTCAGATGTTTAGACTGATCGATGAAACTGGGCTGCGGACACAATCGCGTCAGGGGAAAGATATATTAGGAAACCAGCAACGGTCAGTTGACGAGCTCCGGTAGAGGTTAACAATCTTTGTTCTACAGATACTTGGCAGGGTCATGATCTGCTATTTGCCATTGTTATACCTGTACCCTTAAAATCAATCATATGACGACTTTACTTACTCGAAGACAGTCGTTCCATTTCAGTGTAGTGATATTTATTCTCTAGTCACTGCTCAATATACTATCCCTCAACATCAGATTAGGCTACAAACTTGGCAGCTGTCTTGTTTTGGGCGATGACCCAAGCCATATTTTTCACCCTTGGCAGAACTAGTGTTGTTCCTGTTGCAATGTCTGTCACGAGGTTGACTTGGACGCCCAGTGCCGTTGCCAGTGAGTCAAACCTGCGTTAGATCAATAGTCTAAATGGTATCAAAAATGCGCCGACTACTAAACCCCACATCCAACTATACCTAAAGAGCACTTTAGCAGTGTAAGTGCTGGATGATGGTATATCAAGCACAACTGCAATTGCTATCCACCAACTTGAAGTTCCCCTGCTCGCTTACTCTCATCCTTTCTATGATAGTATGACTGTAATCTCAAATGATCCAAGTTGGTGGCCAACCATCAATGCGTATCTTATTTCCAGCTATTTCATAGGTTTGTTCAAAGCCAGCCCCAGTACTATGATGACCGTGATGGCTCAATTAACCCTGGCTGCGATTTTGCAGTTGCCGCCTGTGTTGTGGTAATGTACGATTGGGGTGAGCGATATTAAGCGTGCAAAGACCATTGATACCAGGATGGTACTGTATTTCTAGGACTTACGTTCGGACAAGAGGTAGGTTGACACCCAGGCCATTACAGCAGTAGTTATCTCGCTGACAACAGTTTCATAGGTGGAACTGGTCTGGGTGAGCGGATTCCTACATCAAAAGAATGATGCGCCGGCGAATATACTAATTTGCGACAGAGGCAACGCTGGTCTATGATGACAGTTCTGTATCTCATTGTATGTCGCTTGCATTTTCAACCAAGCGTGGTTAGCAAGCTGTACTGACCCGAACATATCATACTAGGCACGATATGTTGCAATAGGATTCTCTGTGTACGTTTTGAGGTTCAAGCCATTGGCTTTCCGCTCATTGCCCGTCTTTCACAATCAGGATTAATATGTGAGTATGTCTCCTCGCATCAATTTCGTTTCTTTCATATGATGGGCAGCATACAGGCAGTATTCCAACAATTGTGATAACAGATGCAGTGAGTATTCCACACCGATGCATTGCATTCCTGTCCCAGACAACTCAACTACCATGTAGGGGTGAGAGAAATTCTTAAACAACTCGTTGATTCAATACTATAAACGAATCCCACAGTTGTGAGTTTGTTGCGAGCATGTGGTTCCACAACGCTGATAATTAATGCTGCTGGATTTATCAGGCCTTATCATCGACGACGCACTTAATTGGATGAGTGACGTTGTAGAAATAATACTGGGCAGTGAGCTATACACCTCCGTGATATTGACTTGATTGAAACATCACTGCAAGTCATCATCATCGTTCGATTGCATGCCATGTATCAGCAATCCAGAAAGGTGTTTGATATTTCTCGTTGTCATCTTTCTGGCCATCAGAATCGCCAACGTGGTGATGGTAGCAATAATAACGATGCACATCTCAGCGGGTAAGCTTGTTATGTATGAGATCTTGAAGTGCATCACAACTCACTGACA